GTTTTCGGGTTTTGAAGTTTCTCCACTAGGGAAAAAATTATGGATGGCATAATAGTGCACTTGACAACCTCCACAATTTGACAGTGTGTGCTGTTTCTTCTGCGCTGTATTAAGAGCTTTCCAGTTTACCATTGAAAACGTGTTTTGGTACTGGGCCCTGGCTTTTGAGTTCATCTTTCGGAAAGAGCTGTAAATTGCTTTGGATTTCTTGACGTAGGTGGAACGTTCGACCGCAAAGACTTCCTGACTGTCACCCTCGAACGCTGCAAGATAGTTCTTCCACTTTTCACTAGGGTTAGTTTCAACCGAAGCACTTCCAACCTTACGAAAGCTCTCCTTTACAGCAACTCTTGCAAATCCACAATTAAAAATGACAGACATTTTCGTTTCACACGAATACACTTAGCTCGTTATCGAGTAGTACCGTTGTTAGGGAACAAAACCTTGAAGAGTTTCGAGGAATCAGTGCGATAACTTTCAAGTTTTACGCCAAAATTGTAATTCAGTCTCGATATATGATACTACTTGGGATAAAATTACAAACGTTCTTTATTCTTATCGCCCAAATTTGCAATTGTGTTTTATTAAAACTGTCAAAGGCGATCTAACTCTGGATTTACAGAGATGCAGCCATTCCAAGTGGGAAAACAATGAAAAACGTCTCAAATATTCATAGCGATAACTGCATTTTGATTTGCCTTGTGTTTAGTGGTGGGAATTTGCTCAAGAAAGCAACCGACGAATTTGGCGCCTAAATTAACTGTTTTTGGCTGTTGAGAGTATCATATTACGCTGCCACAATTCAGTCCGAGAGAGATGGTAATGATACACATTTCTGCCAAGTATGAGAAAAATCCCTCGCAAAATAGCTAAGTTATTCTCAATTTTGTGAAATTATGGGTTAAAGACAGGGTGACCCAGGCCTTAATTAACCTGAGTAATTTGAGAAACATTACATTCCTGTTATTTCCGTAGCACGAGTTTGTCGCGGACTCGGTTTCTTTTTTTTTCACCAAAGCACTGCGTTTTAAACGGTGGGTGCAAGGTATTCCCATGACATGTGCTTTAATCGTTTCCTCTCTCAGGCTGTCGGCTTATTTTACGATAAACCAGTGCGAGTAGTTTACAGTTCACTCAGCTGACATTTGTACGTTTTTGGAACAAGTAACCTTTCGGACAGGATTAATTTCATCATGTTTCCGGTCGCAAATGAGAAATAACGCTTGAGTGTGGCATTCATAACAAGGCGTTTCTCGTAACATCCCTTTTACAGCATTTTTCTGTTATTGTTCACTTCCATTGGAAGTTAATTAAACTTAGGCACACGAATGTGCGATACATGCTGCTCAATGTTAGTGTATATATATGTATATATATTTCCTGGAGAACTCGCAGCAAGAGACGGAACGCATCGAAAGAAATAAACAAAAAGTTACAACAATAGGAAGTCTTCCTTTGTGCTGCTCACTAGCCTCCGCTAAAAGAAAATAAAAAAAGGGATAAATCTTCTACATTCTGGAATGTGGAAGGAGAGTTTCTGTTACGAAACCAGATGACGACCTCCCATGATACGCGACAAAACTTTGCGTTTAGTCACGCTCGCTCCTGAACCGATGGGCCTGAGGAGACAGTGACATACACCGGACAAACTCTAAAGTCAAATACTTTTCGGCATAGACTAAAAAACGTGGCGTGTAAATTAGCTGTGGCTCTGAATACAGACCTGCGATCTGTAACATTTCGATTATTCAGCCTTCGTCATTTTATTTCCCCTTTCGTATTTCATAGTCTCTAAATGGTGGCCTATAACAGAACGGAACAACTTTAATTTTTTTTCCGCTCGTAAATTTCGACAGCAGCTGAACAGCCGGGACGAAGTTGTTACTTTCAGGTCTTAACATGACGCTTTTCACCGCCTTACACACGTGTGACGTATCACATCACGTGACCTGAATCGGACCGTTTTCAAAATGGCCGTCGATGAAGCGTCAAAAAAAAAAATTGTTAGAAAATAATATACCGTTAATTTGCTCATTTAGGATTCTTCAACCTACGAAGAATGTATAGGGACAGAAAAAAAAAAAAAAGGAGAAAAATTTGGCGTCAATTAACCTTTAAGCTACCTTAGACTTAACCCAATTGTAAAGGAAACTGCAGTTTATCACGCATTTCACACACACAATCCAGATAGGCAACAACCAATTAAGGAGCCCTCTTTGAAACATTATCCTCTCCTCTTATTCAATGTATCTTCACTTATTCGAGATCGCAATATATCTTTGGTTAGGCTTTATTAGAGGTACAACAAAGTTTCAGTTTGCTTTCGTAGTAAAATTACGCAGAAATATATTTTTGAGTTTACGAACTGTAAATGTAAAATTTTGATTTTCTCTCAGTTAAAGGAACGGCAATAAGCATAGTCTCTTTTGCAACCTTTATTGGGTCTCGTCACGCAACGCGCTCTCTCTTAAACGGGAAATAGAGGGGAGACAACAGTAAGCGTGGCAGAAATGCATTTGAACTTGAAGTATTTAGACAATAGAGATAGATTGAAAGTTATGCTCTTTTCGGTGACAAAAATAAAAACATTAGTACACAAACCCACCCAGCCACATATAAACTCTTGCATGCTACGCATGCCTATGTTTTTTAGTTGGGATTGGATTGCTTTAGAGCTTTCCAATAAAAAACAAACTGAATAATGACACTGATAGTAAAAACACACATTTAAAAATGTATAAAACGCAAACAACCTTTAAAGTTGAAATTATTTCAAGCTAAGAAAAGCGAAGATCCAAATCCAGTATAAATCCACAATAGCTTTGGCGAATACATACGAAAGACTCTTACTTCATCCCAAATGTTTGTATGACTGTGCACGGAATATCTGTGTTCCTGTGTAGTGTTACGGGAAAATTTACTGATTTTCCCGTGTGTGTTATTCGGAGCATATTTATTCGTAAACTTTTACATTTAACCATTTCAAGTCCTTTCATTTTAATAAATCAAAAAATGTATAAAAACCACAGTAGCTTTTGAATAGATTTTTGTTGTTACTCGCTTTCATCATATGCACCTGCTTGTCGGCACTTTTGTTGTTTATTACATGGTTTTTTTAGGTAGATATAAGTGTTAATGGTCTTTCTGGAAACATTGGTTTTCATGGTAGATAGCAGCTGAGTTTGTATTCGTAAACAAAAAGATTTAAATTAAGCCATACGGGATTCCATCCATAGAGATTTTAAAGTGCCGAAGCCACGGGACACCTGAAACGGCTATAGTGGAAGAACGCTGAGGGTTTTTGAGATTTCTCCGCGGAAGGTTTGCATTTGTTGAAAATTATTGTATGCCAATCATCTACCTGGAGTACTTCTTATTGAATACTTAAGGAACGATGAACTTAAAAGAATCTGCGCGCAAAATATTTAACACCATGAGAAGGTTAATTAAAAATGTATGATTGTATCGCAGATCAGCAATCATTACAGGTGAATTGACAATAATTTTTCTCCAAACTATAATCTCTATCAAAACTTCAGTTTAAAACTCAGATTTTTGTTGGTATTTCGTGTCTTCCTGTTTATACGGAATACCTAAGCCTCTCAACATTTGCAAAGTTTCTTCAAACTATTTGAATTTTCGCGTGTACGTGTTATGACAAGTTTTAGGTTTTGTTATCAGTCGAATTAATTATTTAGATGAAATTAAACACTAAGCAAGTGTCTGAATACATGGCATGCGTTGTTGATGGTCTTCCCACTCAAGGCTTGGCTCCGCTGATCGTCTTTACGGCTCTGTCGCAGTCTAAAAATTAACTTTATCAATCTCTGGTTAAACAAAATGGCGAAACATTCGGTCAACGGCCTGGAAGTCCGATTTCTCAGTGCTGGATATTTCTAAGTGTTTGCAAACTTTGATAATGCGTGACTAAGCGACCAATGGAAGGTTACAGTTTTTCATTTTTATCTCTGTTGTTATTAAGTGCTCCGTTAGGAGCGTGGCCTCACTGCTTCATGAAAGGAAACAAAGGTAGGAGCCAACTTTGATTCAGAATTGCACTAGATGATCTTCTTGGCATTATTAAAGAAATATTACATCAGATTTCTTTAAGGGGAAAGACTACTTACCTTTTGAACACTCATATCTGTGTTTCACTTTTATTTCAATGCTAACCTTACTCTGCCAGCCTTGAAATCCAAATTAATTTGGAATTTTTTCGTAGTTTCTATTTTTAAAAACTCTAATTGTATCGTCTATAAGGTCGCCTGCAATTCAGTCGCACCTAAAAGAAGCCGGAATATTGATAAAACTTTACGCCAGTCAATGATTTAGGACAAGTTGTTAAAATCGATCAATTTTCAGCTGCTCGCAAGAAGGTATTATGCAAAAAAAAAACTTTTAGCAATGACAATGTTATGTTAATATTTCCATTAAGCTCTTGTTCTAGTTTTCTTTGTTAGAGAGATTTTGAATATTTTGTTAGCTTTTACAGAAAAATTGATGCCGGCCAAAAAGCGATATTCACTTCACTTATTCAAATGAATTTTTAATCACTTAGGGGTCTATTCTACAGAGTATTTTGTATTTGGTAACAAGTAGCTTGTTTACTTTCGTCAAACACTCCCTCTTCCTGCATACATTTTTTATGCTCATCGAGAAAGACAAATCGTCTCAGTTTATGGGTAGCAAAGAAATCATTCTAGTCACTCAAGTATAAGGATCGTTATGGACCATTCAGATTCTTTTAATTTCGTCTGTAATTTGGACGCTTTGGTGATATATGCTCGAAGTTTATGCCATCAATTTTAAAGAAATTCCTGTTAAAAAATGTCAGTGACACTTGTAATCATTTATTTTGCAAATCCCTTGCAGACCATGGTTGCCGAAGTCTTATGTTTCTGAAATCCTTTGGAGGACATGCTTTGCAACGCCACGTTTTTAAAGAAATCTATTTAACCATGGGAATTAAGCCCTATATCGACTGCAAAAATAGATGCCTGATGGAAAATTCCTGTGTGTCTGTGAACATTGGTCCACCCGACAAGAATGGCCTAAGGGTCTGTCAACTGAGTGATTCTGATCACACACAGCATCCCGATGACCTTAAACCCCAAGAAGGATATTTGTATTGGGCTTCAAAGGTACGGGAAAAAAATGGATTTTACCCGATGATGTTTATTTACTTATTTTTGATACTAAAAATATTTCTGAAAATAAATCTGTCCTTGTAGAATACGTGCTCCAGCAAGCCCTGTCCTCGAAATATGACCTGCATTAATGGGTATACTGACAAGGGATACATTTGCTCAATGTGTAAGGTTGGTTTCATGGGAGAAAGATGTGAACAAGGTAAAAAAAGAACTTTGTTTTTCGGTATTTAAGTTTATTCTGAATTTTTTTGGTCCTCTCCTCTTTTGTACGATTAGTTGGTAATAAAAATCAATTAATTCACACAATCAGTTTCTTTGGGAGAACTCTCTTTCCCTAAATTTGTTTATTTAACAAATAGAGAAGCCTTGACTGTGCTCTGTTCTGTTATAAAGCACTTAGGAAGCGGCTAGAGCACTCAAGAAGTGAGAAGAAACACTCGACTACGTCTCGTGTTTCTCCCTACACTTCTTTCGTGCTCTAGCCGCTTCCTAAGTGCTTTATAACAGAACAGAGCACAGTCAAGGTTTCTCTATTTGTTTTATAATAAAGAATCTGTTAAATTCCCTTTGCATTACTTTCAATTTTCAAAACAAACTTTATTTCCAAAGCGAACAACAGTGTCGTCAGCATGCCCTATACTCTCGTAGAGCACACTAAAATAAGCCAATCAGAATCATTGTTAGAATTGTTCAAATAATCTGATTGGCTGTACAAGACAAAAGCTGTCAAAAGTGTCAAACCATCAAAGTTAAAAAACCATCAAAGTTTACAATCTGCGATAGTTTACAAACTAAAATAATTCGGCAGGTCGAATTTAACGCTTTTGCCTGAAGTTTTTAACACAGAATCTTGAAGTGAAATGTTCAGTGAACTTCAGCCGAATTATGGCTCATAAAAACACGCGAGTTTTTTCACATGACAAGGTAGAAAACAAACTGTTCAAGGAGAGAGTTTTTTAAATGAACGACAGCCGAATTCACCGGAACATGAAGATCGCTCAGGATGACAGCGCCGCAAAACTCGGCTGCAGTGACTGAAGTGACTTTCCACTCAACACATCCGAAAGGATATCAGAACGAGCTCTTATTTTTTCGCTCAAAGGGCGGCCGATGTAGTTTCTGAGGCTTGCTTTACTGTGATGACCGGAGATCGCCATGATAAGCGAACCGCGATGGACTTCAGCATGATCATATTTGCTCAGACACCGTCATGATTAGTATGAATTTTTAACAGTTATGCCAGTTTTGTTATATTTTTCATCATTTCTGTTTTGTTCTGTTTTGTTTTTGAACTCTGAACTTTATATACTATACAAGTGTTGGCTGTGTTTGATTTTTATTACCGCAGTAAGCTTGCAATCTAACTGAGCGTGAAAATATTTGGTTCATACACATGCCAATGCAAGCCAGGATTTAGTTGCAGTTAGTATGAAAGATGTTTTGATTGTTAATCAGTGCAACGTCTATACAGTAATTATAAGGAAACTGATGAGATTCTCATCAACCAACGCCACAGGTTCATAACCAACAATTCGTGTCTAAGTTGATCAAACCATAATTTGAAATAGCTTGCATCATGGTATCCTTTTGAAAAAAGCCAGATTTTCATGAATATGTTTAACCAAATTTCCAAATGTACAGATTCTGTCATGTTTTCTATTACTTCTACTACTACGTTCTTAAAGAGTTTCAGAGTTTAAAAATAATAATAATAATAGTAATAATAGTTATAATAATAAAAAGAGGAACAGGAAAACAAACAAAAAAATAACAATAGATTATATCAAGATTTTTATCTTTCTCAATTAAATGAAAGAACGTGTGATATGAAAAAATGGTTCGAGTAGACTTTTTTATCCTTCAGCATTTCAAGCCGCTTTTACAAATCTCAATGCCACTGGAAGATATGGTCCAACGACATTGGGTAGCCACTACACAGGTCAGGATCATGACGGACAAGTTACACTGTCCAGCGGTATTCAACAGTGGAATGTGCCGTACACTGGTGACTACAGAATAGAAGCGATCGGAGCAGCAGGAGGGTACGATCCATTTCGAAGCAGTGCTCAGTACCGAGGAAGAGGAGCAATTATGATCGGAACATTTCGTCTAAACAAGGGTGAAGTCATACAAATAATTGTTGGTCAAGAAGGAGGAATAAACAAGCAAGAGTGGTCTTCTGGAGGTGGTGGAGGTACATTTGTAGTGAGAGGAGCCAATACACCTTTGATGGTAGCTGGAGGCGGGGGAGGGGTACAAAGTGTCAATTCAAGTCATGGAGGATGTGACGCCAGCACACAAACAGCAGGGAATCCTGGATACAAATCATGGTCAGGGGGGAGCAATGGACATGGTGCACGGACTGCTGATAATAGCTCCCATTCAGGTAAAAACGTATTGTCATGTTTCCTTACTCTTCGTGGCTTTGGCAGCAACTTAATCGAGTCGCACGTTTCCGGTCTCTCTGCAAGACTAGTGCTCATAAGGTGGCAGTATCGTTATCAATCTGGTTTCTGTTTGAGTATCAAAATATAGTTCAAGTTTTCACCCGGTGTCCATCCAAGCATCAAATACTTTTATATTCCTTAGAGTATCTCCTCCTTTGATTTATCAACGTTTTAAAAACCGAGAAGAAATTATGAAATTCTGCTTCATCCAAAGATTTGAACATCGATATTCATTACACGGTTTAGGTTCGCATCTTGGGAGTTTACGGACCAAATGTCACAGCAGTCATGGCGAAGTTTACATACCTCATTAATTCGTTCAAAGAAGGTCGCAAATTCGCAAAAAGAAAAAACGAAGTAGGTATTTTCGCTATGAAACTTTTCCCGACATTTTTTGGCTATGAAACTTTTCCCGACATTTTTTGGTTGACCACATGTCAAGCTATATCAACACTGAAAAAAAAACATGCAGTTCCGACTGCCAATAGAAACACAGAAGCGTCCTGTACAGACTCTCAGCAAGAACACATTCCGCGGGTTACTATCCATCAGTTACCCATGACAGACCTATAGTTAAATTCAGCTGAACGGCAATTTCTATTTCAACTCTTTTTTATATAATTTTTATCTTAAAAGCGGCCTGGGCACTCCGCGGAAAAACTTAATGGTCGCTGATCTATTGCGAGCAGCGAAGATTGCTTAAACCCCAAGCCTTTATCCGTTTCGACATTCCGCGTCGAGTTTCTTGAATTCTTATGAAGACAGCCAGACCTCTTTTTACTTTCATCTAAGGAACCTTCTCCTTTTCATCTATCTCTATTCTCATTCTAGTCTTAAACGCAGGCATATATCAAAGGTCTTAACGTGTAACCGAAATCAGGAGATGTTTTACGTAATCGAAATTCAAGGATCAAGATGTTTTGTTATTAGAAACCCTTCGGGAGTAATTTATGTTGACATGTTATAATTGGCTATTCAGAATTTGGCCCGCTGACGAATTCAGTTCAAAGATATTTTTGTAAATAACTCGCATGTTTCTCAATATTTTAAGTAAATCTTTCTTGGAAAATATATGTTAAATAACGAAGTTAATAAAAAAAAAAGAAATTCCAAAAAGATGGCCCTAGAAGGTCTACCGTATCTTTAAATCAATTTCCATCTATTTCCTCAGGTGGAGGTGGTGGCGGCTTTTGTTCAAGTGGAAGAAGTGGAGCGTAATTTCATGGAACCGTTGGAGAGGGTGGAGAGGGTGGTAAGGGATTTCTTCAGGGAGGGGTGGGTGGGAGAACCCGTTTCAACGATACCACCGGTGGGTTTGGGGGAGGAGGCGGGGCTTGGGGATGGGGAGGGGGCGGAGGAGGAGGAGGAGGGTACTCTGGGGGAGGTAGTGGTAAACACCTGATCGATTCCTGCGGCGGTGGAGGTGGATCATTCAATGCTGGAAACAACCAGAAAAATGATTGTTGTTACAACTCTGCAGGTCATGGTCAGGTGACGATAACGTTACAGTAGAGTAAACTAACCATAAGCTGCCAAACTGAAAAAAAATCAGTAGACTGAGAGTGTGAATCAGGGCGTTGGACGTTATATTTCTTTAACTTGGACATTAGGTCGAGGTTGATCTTCACAGGGAAGTGTTGAAAACAGACTTCTACTTAAGAGACTATTTCATTATAGCATCAGAACAACTAGCAAATCTCAAAGCTTCATCGTGATATCCTCATTTTCTCTTGATCGAGAATTTTAGTGATAATATGTCATTATGTTGGCTGACCAGTTCTCGGCTGGCTTGTTAACTTAGTTTTTAGAGCACTGCACCGGTATCTCAGAGGTCGCGGGTTCAAATCTCGCACAGGTCTGGATTGTTCAGGCCTTATTTTCACTTCTGCTTAGGTAGTGTTCATTTTAACGAAGATTATTTTCATTTTCATAAAAGTTGTTTGCTTAACAACCATTTTGAGGACTTTCAAATGTCATAGCCATAAATGACCTATATAGACTTTAGGTGTGTAAACTTTATCGACATTTAGAAGGCAAACCTAAACATTCCTTAAAAATGATAATAGAATGGAAAACAATATATTATAGAGAGAAGACAATCTCGTTCTGTAACTCAGTTTTACAGATATTCATTATGTTATATTATAGTGAGGCAACAATGTCGTTCTGTGACTCAATTTTACCTATATCCATTCTGTTATAATTTATAGACTTCGGCCAAGCGTAAAAAAGAAGCTCTTGTTAGTTTATTTTCCAGCCCTTCATTATAATGAAAACTGTGATAAAACTCTTCAGCACCGGCTGTCGAAGAGTTTCTTCAAGGGGCTTAATGACCAGTCGAGGGTGGTGGGGAGAAATGACGGGGTCTGAATCCGAGGGACTCTTTACAACTTGCAAAGCGATCAACACGTATGTTAGCCTGTAGTTCATTTAAACAGCTGAGGACCTTCGTTATTGTTCCTGATGTTTTGATCAAATTTTTGAAGATAAGGAATGTTTTTTCTCAGATGTCGTGTATGATGTCAGCATTAGCTGAAATTACATTTTCTTGAGCGTGACTGATAATTTCGGTTTGGAAAAATGGGCCAAAATTGAAAGAAACGACGATGAACTACTTCGAGTTAAGACCTCACTGGTTGATTAAAGAGTATACACGTGAGGAAAGTGAGACAGTAAAACAATACGCCCGAATCGTATGGGCATCTCTTACATGTATATCTTCTCTTGAAGTTTTCAGGTATGACTGCTCTCTCCACTGTTTTCCCCAACTTTTCGATCACCTCTAATAAGCGTAGAAAATTAAAAAGACAAGTCATTTTCAACTCGTGTTTAAACCTGTTATTTTTTCGTGTTTTCTTTTGGTATTCTTGTTTCACGATTGTCCTCCGGCTGGAAGTACACAGTGTCTTTTTTTCGATTTTTTCATTTATTTAATTCGGTAACCACTGTAACTGCATATAATACAGGCCTTTTTAAGCCAACTGTCTATGATCTTAGCTACTAAAATATGAAATTTGCCCAACATGTTTCTTGCGCTGAGAAAGTTTGATTTAAAGGAAGACTTAGGATTCAACCATGAAGGCATTTATAAAAAACTTGAGATAATACCTGGATTTCATTTGTACATCACAGAAATTAATTCCTAACATCCATCAAGTTTTTTCTTTAGTTTAGAAGTTGATCTGATAATGTTATTGGCTATATTAAAGAGGTTGAAAAGTTTCAACTGGTTTCTCTCATGTTTGGAAATAATTGAATTTACTTGGAGGTGGAGTTGTTGCAACATGCTAACATGAAACACAACAATAAATTTTATTGATATGTAAAAAGTTTCCATTTGACTATCTACTGGCGAGTCTGTATTATATTTCAACCCAAACATTTTCCGCAACTTGTAAACACCATGACGAAATGATTAGTCAGGGAAGTGGAAAATTTGTGGCGTATACACCATGTTTGAAATACCAAGTCCAGAATAAGCTCACAGGATTGAGGAGGTTGTATGTGGGAATAGGCTCACTTCTTTGTATCATTAATTAGCTAATCGCTCCTGTTGCCAATGTTTTGATGAGGTTAAGCTGTCAAGGGAAAGGACCTGGGGATTTAAGCTAGCAAAGTGACTTTTTAAACCTAGAAAGTATCATCGCGAAAAGCCGTAAATTTGCCTGGTAGTTCGTTTTTATTCTGATCAACTAGTTTTAAGATGGAAGCAATTTTTTATTGCATAAATTAGATGCATAGACTGTGCACAAAACTTTAATTTGAATACAATTTTATAGCCAATACCAATCCCTACACGTGATAAAATGTTAGGAGGATCAGAGGAAAAGATAGTGTGTCATACATCTGCAAGATTTCATGTAATTGTTATAATTAAATAAATATAAACTGACACCGGGAGAATATTCAAAAGAATAGAAAATATGGTTAAAAAGTTAGAATTCGGCATAGGCCCGATAAACAAGATTCTGAGGAAAGAAAGTGTTCCAATGAAAAAACCTTCAAAAACTCTCGAGAAAAAGCCAACGATTAATTCATGAAAGCGTCACGCGTTGTGAGACTCGGTGTTAAGTTACGAGAGGAACCGTTGGAAAATTTGAACACGTTATAAGGAATAGTATGGGGAACGAAATATGGTCGATTTACAGCGATAAATATTTCGAAATAGGAATATTTTACACGTTTTGCACATTTTACCATCACTGTTATTCCTGTTGAAAGACAGAAATAACAGTGACTTGCTTTACCAGGAGTAAATCGACTATATTTTGGTCCCCATACTATTCCTTATAAACATCGCTGACTCAGTCTCATGTTACTTCAATTGTGGGAAAGGCCATTACTTCGTTCTTAGGGTAAAAGAACACATCTTCGATGAAGTGCGATTTTTTAAATGAATAAAGTAAACCCTGCGATAGTTAACAGACGAGAGAGCGATAGAAACTTGTTCACGCCGTTCGCTATCATTCGAAAACATAATCCTTAAGATAACTTCTTTTCCCTTAACACCACGAGGACCACGAGTGTGTTAAACATTCTAAACAATAGGACAAGAAATAACTTGAAGAATGCGAACACTTTGAAATATTATTAAAGCGATGAGCCGGCGGAAGGTTTTACCGAAAAGTGATTTGAATTATAAACCAAAGCTAGTGCTAAACGACGATTGGTGAAAAAAGGTTTTAATTTTTCTGGACCTTAGCGTAAGAGAAAACCTATATAAGACACGACTTACCCCCATTTCTACCTCGGATCCTTTGTGGTTCGCTTCTCTTTGTTGATGACCTCTTTCCAGTCCATTTTCTGGAGCTCTTCGTATTTCCTTCTCACGTTGCTTTTCGCTAGATATTCGCCTTTTTACGTATGCCTTCTCTTATTCTCTTTCACGTTCTTCTCGCCGTATTCTGCCTTTTTTCAGCATCCTTTTTAACTTTCCAGCGCGTATTTCTCGACTCGCTTTACCCCTTTAACCTCTTGCTTTCATTGGTGGCTCTGTCTCTTTCTTTCCAGCCCATTTTCACTCAAAACCCTTTCTTCACGAACTGGAATTATAACAATTTCCTCCGGTTGACAAAGCGTTAGCTCTGCCGATATTGTTGCTTTGCTAACCCTTAGAAATTGCAAAATACTGAGAATTACTATTCGACTACAACCTCACCAGTTTGATTTTCCCGCTCAAAACGCGGGTTGCAAATTATTTGCTTACGCGGCTTCACATCTACTAGCCCACGTGAAGCCCTCGTGTAATGCCCAACCGTGTACCCGTGGTATGCCATGATATGATGGTTTATTATTATTATTATTATTATTATTATTATTTGGGGATTGAGAGTCAGATTGTCGCAACCAATTGAAAAACATTCGTTTGCATTAATTATCTTCTTTATAAACGTAACATTTAAAAGTTCAAAAAATGAATGAAGTAAAAAAGAAACAAAGGATGCATCCTGTAAATCTGCGCACGTTGAAGAAACCGATGGTTGAGTTGATAACAAAAGAAGTCTTTGAATAACTCTCTTGCAACAAAATTCCTTTTTAAACGTAAAAATTTTTCCTGACAATCATTGCAAGGTAAATTATCACAAGAGGCTACCAGGCATAGCACACATTCATGTGATCCAAACAGCGTCAGGCTCGGTATCTATTTAACAAGTAGAGAAGCCTTTACTGGGCTCTGTTCTACTGCAACGCAAGAAGGAAGAGGCTAGAGCACGAGTGAGGACTTTTGTCTCTGCTTACGTTATAATAATGTAAATTACGGCGCTTGGTATGTTTACAAATCTTCGTCTGGTTCTTCTGTGGTTGCTTTCCGGTTCGCTTGTTCCGAAATTTCACTTACGGAAAAAGGCTAGATAGAAGTCCGTGAAATTGTCGGATATAGTTCAATTTGGAAGATAGCGTGACAGCTTCAGCTCAGCTTTATGTTTTAATTCTTAGCCTGTGACAGAGAAATAAAGAGGATCAACGGAAATAAGAAGTCACCTACTTATCGTTTAATTTCACCTAATTAATTCATTCGACCAATAACAAAACATCTCCTAAAACTTGTCATAGCACGTAAACGCAAAAATCCATACAGCTTAATGAGGCTTTGCAAAGGTTGAAAGGCTAAGGTATTCCATGAAAGCGGAGAGGCCTAAAATAACAACAAAAATCTGAGTTTTAAGCCCGAGTTTTTAATAGAGATTATGATTGAGAGAAATTACTGCCAATTACACCTCTAATGAATACACAACGTTAGCCATGCAGTCTAATTTAGGCCAAATCCGTTGAAAATCGTGTGGTGTTCATTGATTGGGTTAAAATCTCTAAGTATCATTTCCCTTCAGACTTAATTTATAGCTTTGTGGGTTTCCTTAAAACACCTGCTACACAGGAACACAGATATTCCGTGCACAGGCATACGAACATTTTGGATGAAGTAAGCGTCTTTTGTTGGTATTCGCTAAAGCTATTGTGGATTTATAGTTGATTTGGATCTCTATTTTACTTAACCTGAAATAATTTCAGCATCAATTAAAGTTTGTTTTGCATTGTATCGGTTTTTAAAATTTATGTTTCAACTGACAGTGTCATTCAGTTCTTTATTGTTAATGGACAGCCCAAAGCAACCCAATCCACTGGAAAAAAAGCGTATTAATTCAAATTCTGATATTAGTTCCTCATCAATGTATAAACCCAAGTTAAGACCTTTGTGTAGCTAACCTTTTCTATTGATTTTTCATGAACTCAAATAAAAAGTTACGAACGTTCAGACGGTTTCAAAGTGCTTTTGGAAGAGCTCCCATCGATATCGCTCATTAACACGGTTGGCAAAGCCAAGGTATGATAAGTGATGCATCAAAGGTGTTAAAATTCGCGGTAATTGAGCGTGGATTTACATGGCGGACATTGCTTGTTTTGACAAGTATTGTCATTCTAGTTATTGAAGCAAATCGAAGGTTCATCCTCAAACTTTAAAATCACTGAAACTTAGAAGAGCGAGTTTCACAAAGTCTTGTAGGGCAAATCTGGCCCATTCTTCTTCAATTTTAGCAAGGTCGCCTTTAAATTTGCCGCCTTACTCGTTATGAATAATAAGTGTGTCATGACAATCTGGCAGCTCCCCCCCCCTCCCCCCTCTGGGCAACAACCTCATGACTGAGGAGCTGCTAAGTGTCACAGGCAGTCATCTTAGAAGAGGTTGCAAACATTTGCATGCTCATTTTTCGCTCTTTTATGGTCGGAAAAGACTATTCGTCTGTGCTTGTTTCGATTCTTTTTGTAATCAGTTAAAAATGACGATAAGCTGAGAAGCAAGTCAAAAATTTAATAAAACCAAGCGGACAGACAAATCAGTCCTTGTATCTATACAGTCCTTTACTAGTTCAAAGTTTAGAATTATCATCTTAAGTATAGCAAATTTCTCAAAGATACATACAAGAAAAGTAAGTCAGCTTTAACGAGTTTTACATACATCATAACTATTCTATAAGTACAATTTAAATGACAACTAGCTCCCATTTTGGTTGACGACTTTAGTGCTTTAAGTACCCGATCAATGAAGCCATGTGGTTATTATTCGAATATCCTTTAAGCCTGGTTTTCCTAGTCTAGCATTCCAGCAACTATTTTGTGCATAAAGCGTTATAGCGGAGCCCGATATTTAAGAAGACATTTTAAAGCCGAGAAAGTTTCTTTAAGGCGACATCCTATATGTAAGACTGAAATTCATCATTCCGTCCATTTGATTTTAGCTTGAATGCAATAAAGTTATTGGTCCTTGTTCACTCCATACTTTCTTGTAAAGCACAATTCAGATTAAAGGTTCTGAAACTAAACGTTTTATAAAATTGTATTCATGTACAACATGGCCCTGACAGCTATAGGACTGGCAGATCACTCCATTGACCTCATTACTTTCTGCTACCAATCTCTTCCATCGATAATTACAGATGCGTTTATATATAGGAGATATGGTGCGATGCAGCCATTCCTTTGGTTCATCACTTTTATAAAACTGAGAATATTTATTGTCAGATCTCTGTTAATTTGTGGCTGGAAATACGGCGTTAAACTTTCTATTCAAACGCTCTTTAATCTGCAAAAAGGAAAAGATATCATGACATTTTTAGTCTCAGCCTGGAAAAAAGGTGTCTGAAAATTACTCGCTATGATCTTCCAAAGTTGAACCTAAAAGTTAGACTTCAAAAGGACCCTTAAGTGATAGAAAAAGCGAAAAGGACCTATGTTACGACTTCCTTATACGGTCAGGCTGCTTATGACGATTGAAAATTTTGGGTTCAGTGGGTGACTTGCGCATTAGAAGACAATTCTTAAGAAGGCTAAGGTAGTCTCTGAAAGTTTAAAATGTGCTTATCACCATAATTTCACATCTAATCTTTTAACCACATTAACAACCAGCGTAAGTTTTCTCCATATGCATTAACTTCAGGTGGTAACTGTGTTAAGATAACGAGTCTTACAGCGTCAATTTTAATTTTTCATTTAACTGAGCCTCATGTCTCTCTTGTGACTTGTACTTTGAATAAAATCATCGTCAATAATTGAAATAAAAATCAAGCTAAAAGATTAATTTAAAAAGATTAACAAAACCACTTGTACTTACCTGAGTGTTTCGTACACAATGCAATAGAAAAATGAGAAATCCCTGTAAAAAGAATAAGATGCACCTCTCTATGATGCGAGCAGCTTAAAAATGATAAGGCTGTTGATTTTGAGGTTTCCTTATTTAAAAAGCTCACTAATGGTGTCTCGTAAAACATAACAATGGTTTACCTGAGTTGAGCTGAAGATAGTAAAGATATAGGCAAAAGCTTTGTGAAACGTCGAAAAGATACCAAATAACCACGTGACACCCAGCAAGGGAATCATTACTGCGCATGTCTTGATGCAGAGTCTGTAAAAAAAAAAGCAACGACAGAGAAACAAACAACAACAAAAAAATAACAATAAAAAACAAAAAACAGAGCAATACAAAAACAAAATAATAAGAAATAACAAACAAGCTGGTTTTTTGTTGTCATTATTGTTGTTATTGTTGTTCATGTTATTGTTCTCATTTTCCAGTCCCAAACGTTCATTTTTACTCTTACCTTATCTGATGATTTCCTGGAGCTGGCTCTGTTCCGGACATTTCTTTTACAACTCTGGCCAGAATTAACAAGTTGAGCTAGAAAATAGTAATATTTAAAATAGGCTAAACATTCATATGTAATTGCCAACAACTACTCAGCTACTAACTTGTTGACCTCAGTCTGAGCCCCAGTTATTTGACAATTATTCCATGAACGCGCCATATATGAGATGGTAGAAAGCCAACAAGGCGCCTAGCCCGTAATAGGCTACAGCCTATTTGGTATCGAACGAGTGCAAATGGAATAGTTGTTTTTATGCATTTCCATATAAGGTGACTCGGAATAAGAGCTGATAACTGGAGTTCAGTGAACCAATGACAACAAGAGAATGCAATATTTATACTTGAAAATTTAGTGATTGTTTATTCACCAGTAAGCAGCATGATTTTTTACTGTAGGATTCAAGGAGAGTGTTGTCTGCACGTCAATAGGCCTGTTTCCCGAAAGCCCTTACAGTCAACGGTCAAGGAAAGCAATTGTGTTCGTGTCCTTCTTTCTTTACCGTTTTCCTAATTTATGATTGAGATGTCAACGACTGTTAAATTCAGACAAATAAAGAGAATGCGTATTTTTTTTTAGCCAAGACCGCACAGCAAACAGGCCTTTCTTTTTGGACCGTTATAGGCTAGTTTTGTCCCACTTTTTTTAATTCAAATACATCCTTCATCAATACAAGTCTTCCCAACTTTAAAATATGAATAACATCTTGCTGCGAGTTTTTGGATTTTGAAAATTCTAATGAGACTATCAGCTATGTTTAAAAATTGTGATCTACTTACAACTTCCACTGTCACCACAAAAACAGCAAATATCCAGATAGAATGATTTGCGTTGGAGAGCCAGCAGCTTATTCACGACACAAATTACATAATTATATTAGTCTTGAAGTTTAATCAAGCCATCACAAGTTGAAACAGAAGAGAGAAGGGGGAGGAGAATGTGTTTCCTTTGCTATGACATCTGCGAATAGTTAGACATTGTAGTCTTCTAGGATAAGGTCGATGAACCGTAGGCCCTGTCTCCTGCATTTTCTCAGTGCTGGTTAGCAGGGAAAGATACAGAACTCACTCACAATTGTTGCAAAGTGTAGAGAACGTGGCTCCCGGTGTGGTGATCTGGCCATGTTATCTTATAAATAGTCCCCAAATAAACTAGCTCTAAAGCTGAAATGGTCTGAATTGTCTTAATAAGTAAATAAATAATGAAACTTAAATAGATACATACAGATACTTACTATTCTTTGCTGACAAAACTACCGATTTCGTCCCTCGCTGAAGCAATTAACAATGAAATACTGACCATAACAGCTGGAAAAGCTACAATTAACACAAAGGAAAGTTTTAAAGATAATGAGATCACCACGTATCAGTATCATTTTGATAACTAAAGCTTGATATCGCCTTTAATAATTGTTGCAATAGTGGAAGAGCCTACCCCAGGAAAAAGCATGGTACATGGCCATCTTCTCATTTATATTATAAACTTTGACAACAAACAGGTAAAGATAAATTCCTTCGACAAGCATCCAACAAAAGGCTGACATGAGAAAATACTGCATCAGGGCTGCCACTGCGACACAAATACCCTGAAAATCAAGAGTAGACTGAGCTATTTATAACTGTAACTGTTTTATTTGTTTTAAGGATTCATTTTTAAAAGGCTTTTTTTAATAGCTTTCGACATTTTATATCAAATATAGCCTTTATTTTCCCCACAAGTTAATTTTTTATTAATCAAGTCTCGATCATGCCAACATGAATCTGTTACTTCATAAACACCTGCTTCTTATGACAATTTCTCAAGCCCCCTCCCTCCCCCTTTCCGTCCAAACTGATAGTTGTCAAGCTGTGATCAATAATAATCACAAGAAGCATGAATCTGTTCAAATCCTCAAAAATGCGACTAGAGCCAACACTCCTCTTTTGAATTCACTGCCAAATAGCTAAAAAAACGGTTTTACTGACTCTGTTTTAAGTTGTACTTTTTAAAAAACAAAAAACAAAAACAATAAACAAAAACAATTAAAGAAACAAAACAAAGAAAAAAAACAAGCGTTTACCTTATCCTGTGTGGCATTTATCCCGGCAAGAAACATTATCTGGCCAAGTCCCAATGAGGCAACGAGACTTAACCTCACTTGAGACAGCGGCTGATGCACATCACTAGTGATAACGAAAAGAAATATAGACTGTATTGATAGACAAAAATAGGAAAATAGATCAATACCATTTATATCAAGTAAGAAACTGTACAATACTATCAAAACTGAGAAGGAAAGGAACTAAACTAGGAGAAATGAAAATAAAAATAAATAGGTCAGAGTTGGAGAGTACCAAGTGTAGTAAAATAATTCCATAACAGAAGGAAAAAAACATTTTACTTACGTGAGGAGAGCATAAGAAGCTAAAGTAAGAATTATTCCAATGAGCGACAAGATCAGTCCCACGTAAGTGAGAATCGTCAATATCTTCTCATCTTTTTCTGTCTATTTTTTCATTGTAATAACAGGCAAAAGGAAAGCAAAATAAAACTAATGACGACATACTAAAAAAAATGTATATATATATATGTATTTTTTTTTTTTTTTCTTACAATATAAAATAGCACAAAAGCCCCGTTAGTAAAAATGTTCTTCCCGGCTTTAAGTAAATATGACAACAGTGAAAAATCTGAAAACATATTCAAATTAACCTCAAATCTGGAAGGAGTGGGTAGTTATATAACATGGTGATTTGCCATGATTATCATGAAACAAATGTTGTGGATTATGAACAGACAAACACCATTACCTCTGCTGTGTAGTCGAACAAAACTGCAAAGTGAGTCAAATGGTTGCAGCTGCACTCTGTGTACTCTGATCTTCTTTTAGATACGTGACATCCCTCATCTGACCACCCGTCAATACTAAAAATAGGCGACATGTTAGCTTTTTACGTGAAGCGACGAATATATGACATCTTCCCTTAGCTATTTATCGAAAGTTTGGCTCTGCAGCTTGAAGTCATCAAATTTCATCAGCCTGTCATTTTAGTCGCCCATGTGCTGGGGTTTAACCAAGGAAAGAATCATGGGGCGCATTTAGGTTCTTACGACGACTAAGCCCTTAGAAATCACCCATCTTTTGAAAGATAGCATCTTATTCACTATGCAAGATTAGAAAGATGAGCCAAGGAACGTAGTGGCAGTGGGTGAGGAAGTTAAGCATTATAGCTTACTCTGAACATTGCATTATCTAGGATGGCCACCAAGACATCCATTATATCAAAGTCTTTCAGAATAATCCAAAAAAGAAAAAAGAAACAAAATGGGAAAACCAACCAAAAATAATTAGATACAGTGAGATAATATAATTGACGAAATTCTCACATGAAGGTGAAAAATGATGTGCCGTGAATCGACTGCCTGAGGCACTTTAATTTTTTTGGACAATCGCTAAACATGTTTTAGGTCATACAATGGACACGTTCGCCGAGGACAGAAGTTTTAATTTAGTACTACAAAATACTGCGTGACTACCACAAAATAATCATGCTTACCGTTTGGAATCAAATCCTTTCCAAAACACACAATGCCTGGTTGCGTCAAGAGACTAATGAATAAGATACTGTTTCATTCAGCCCAACAGTTAATACTTTCGGAAAATCTAATCATTAATATAAAAGTAAAGTATTCTTTCCATGTACCCATTTTTCGTTTTTTTCAGTCGTTGATATATTTCATCATACATGTCATATGATTTCAATTTTATGTAGATTTCTTGCCTTTTGATTTCTAAACTTCATGACGGCATTTCTTTTCAAAAGTGTCGGCTTCGGATCCATTGCGACTGCCATTACCAAGCTGTTAAGACGCCTGAATGATAAAGAAACAAAACCATCGAGTAGGGCTCGCTTTAAGAAACAATCCAATCGGATCAATAGGATTATCCCTAATGAGCCTGTAAAAAAAATCTCAGGGTAGACGCTAGCCAGTGCAGAAGAAGGAATGTTGCCTTTATCGGCTTTTTCACTCCCGAGCGGTTTTATTAGTTTAGTACCAGTCTTCCTCAGCTGCAATTCATGGAGGGCTAAAACTTATCATTTTCTTTATCTGATCATCACCACCACTATCTCTCGAAAATCATTGTCAGTGGGTCTTTTTTCTTCCTTCCGCCATCGCCTCTTTCATTGTAATTGTCACTTAGATGCAACAACGAAACGTTGAATACTATGAAGAAGAACGATGTGAGGCATAATATAATTCCTGATCTGGCAGTTTTTAAACGCGACTATGCCCAGGTAGTCACAGATTTTATGGAGATTTTCTGAATGGATGATTTTTAATCTTAATCAACATACACGTACAGATCATGTTACCTCCTTTTCTTTAAGTTTGCATTATTAAATTCTCTCATTCTTAACAGTTCATGTAGGCCTTTGAATATGATTCCGACAATCACTGAACCTTAAAGGAAAAACAGAAAAGCAATTCAAGATATATCCGTGAGTTAGATGGATTGCGAGTGTATCGTACTCCCTGTCCAGGTAGATGAGATAATAAAAACATTTTAAAAGATACAATTACGTGAGAATATTGATGACTTTTTCGAAAGCTCCAAAAAATTCAGCAATACATAACCCATCGTTATTTTCCTTGAATTTTCGAGAAGACTTACTGTTTAGAAAATGTCACTTGTCACATTGTTGGGATAGAGTTCTGTTTTCAGTGTGTGATTGAACTTTAAAAGTAAAAGGATCAAATACTTATGTTCTGGGATATTTTGCCTCCCTCCTGCCCCACTCACTGATGGAAAAAAAACTATGGAAAGCTTCATAGATTTAAATAGAATATTCAAGAAACCTGTTCATTTGAAAACAACAGCGACTGCAACAAAAACAAAAGCATTTCGCTAAGTTCAAGATCAGAGTCAAGTTTGCCCCCGTCCCAATTTATGCAGATCATTTTATTAAAGCTCGTAGTAAAAGTTTTCTTCGCACATCAAAGTCAAATACCTACCGTTTCTATTAAAGTTATTGGATGAGATTTTGATAGTTTCACTAAATGATTCACCGAGGTGAAAGTCGTCAAAATCCCGTGGTAGACTCTTCCGAATACGAACTGTTATAAAGGACGAATGATGTGGTTTAAAAATACCTGACAGAAATATCATAGAATATAATGAGAATAACATTAAATATTTGTTATATTCAATGTGCGATATAACTCTCATACCCTATCGAGTTCCTCCCTGAACTTCCACATACATTACGCCACTACTTTTATGAGATCAATTATGTATGCCTATGATGAGTGTCTGTAGTACCAGCAGACTCTTAAAACTGATAGTGGTACGAATTAGTTACCAGAAACTTAAAAGAGGTTTTGATAGCTGAAAAAAAACAAAAAAAAAGCTTAGTCCCCATCTTGGTATGACTTCATTTTTGTATATCATATAAGGTTTCCATCATATGCTATCAAGCGCAGTTATAGGATCATAATTATGTGTCCCACTATGACTTCATTTTCGTATGTCATTTAGGATGTTCAATTTCTTCTCCATTACAAAACATAACAACATTAAAAAAAACAGACAAACAACCTTAAGCCTACCACGTATTCTGTCATATTTCTCCCTTAACACTGGCCTTGATTCGTTGAGGTGGTACCAGCCATACTTCAGAGCAAAGGTCTGAAAGGCATCTACCGTTCTGTGTATCAACTCTATCCGTTTCCGCTCGGTTATAACATTTTTTTTAACTTCTGTAAAGGATATATCTTTGTACTTGGCCAGAGTATCTCGCAACAAATCGACGACGTTCTGCAAAAGGATGGAATGAAATTCAATGAACAAAGTGTTTCTTCGTTATCATTACCTTAAGATAACTGCTGATGATTACTTTTCTGTTATTACTATTTTTTTGGGCATATGCTATTACGTGACACCTTTAGACCTATTGCGTGCGAGCAGGAATATCAGATAGATTATAACCAACAGTAGGTACAAGGAATGATGATGATTGAGTAAAGTTGAAAATTAAAAAGGTTTTTCTAAGAAATTTAATAAATAGAATGCAAAACTTCAACATACCTGCAAAGAGCTACCTTGTTGAATATCTGTTTTATTCAATGCCAAGGTAAAATTATTTGTCTGTAGCAAGGATGACATATCAAATTAGTGCGAAAGAGTATGAAACAGATACTAAATGCTCGTCCATTAAAGTTATCTCGACATATCTAACTCACTGTTTTAAATTCTTGAAAGAATATGCAAAATAGCAAGCAAAGAAACAAATAAAACAACAAACAAAACAACAAACAAGAACCAAACAAACCAACGGGAAAAAAAAACAAACAAACAGAAAGAAAACCAGATAAAACAGAGCAAAATCATCCCTAAGCAGAAATAATAGTGAAAAAAATAAAATACAAGAATAATAATTATAAAAAAGATAGCGATCATGACAATGATATTGATGATTATTATGATAAATTAAAAACGACATATCATGAAAATGATCATATTTGAAAATGAGTTGCATGTTACAGCAACTAGTGTGACACTGTGTATGCATGTCATCAGGGTATGTTTAAGCAATACCTACCAATTCTTCTGTTTTAGAGGTCTTTTTTGATCCTGTAGGAAGTTGCGGTGATGTAGTTGCTGTTTGTACTTGAAATATAGCTGGAAAAATAAGCTTATCATAGAGTTGAATCATTCTTATCTTTACGTATCCTTATACGGTCAGAACTTTGCTTAGAAGAGAGGCAATGGAACACTTTCAAACCAAGAAGTGATCGACTGGTATCTTCTTCAGAAAACTGCAATACATTATTTGCTCTAGAGAAGAGAGGACATCGTCTTTGCATTATCAACTCACTTGATAGAACGAAACTATCTTGCAGCACTCTCAACCAAAGCAGCACCTTAGTTTCTTTAGAAACCTATCCCCTTTATTCACTGTTCAATTATCCGATAACAAAAGCGAAGGAGTTATCAGCAAGAAAATGTCATTTTCATGAGATGTTTAAAAAGACAAGTTGCAAGGAAGAGATGAAAGTCAGCTTTCTTTGAAGCTTCGAGCTTGATAGACCGTGACAACACACCATTTCAAAAAGGAGAAGCAAATCAAAAGGATCTTTATCGCATTAATAAATTTTCTCCCATTTCGCTATGTGGTTTTCCTAAAAATACCTGAAAAGCATGACTTAAAATAGTCATCTTTGATTTGCTAACTTTAGAATGAGAATACCAAATTTCTCACCGTATATGTGAGTCATAGTAGCTTTTTATATTTGTGGCTATAAATATAATACCTTTTGATGTTAATAGGTAGAGCTGTGCCACTTTGGACGCATTTGGAGCGGTCAAAGTTATTCTGACAAGGGTAAATGCACAGAGGTTCTTTTCGGATGCAATTATGTTTACACCTACATGCAATTATGTTTACATTAGTCGCTGCATGTCTAACAGCAAGTACCAATTCTGTCATTGCAAGTCGATTAGAAGTTTCGCTTGCTCCAAGCGTATTGTCACCAAATCAAAAATTTTTAGCATTGCAGATTTGGAGACATTTGCTCGAGCTGCATTTCGAAAAACAAAAATTTACATTTACGTTGCAAGTCTGATTGCATGTTGTTCCCTTACAATCCAAATGACATGTATCTGCCTACATTGCACTTCGTTACAGTTCCTCTTACATGCGCAAATTACCTCGCACAATCTTTAAGGTTTTCAAAGCAAAATGTTTATTAAGTATTCTGCCTGGTAGATGCAACCGTTTTGCGCGGGAGTTGTCTCGCCCCAAAAAAATTATGCCCTGACTCAGGGAAACCATATCAAAGGTGATTTTTTGGGCAGAATTTATCAGAATGTCTTCAATAAAAGAATTCGTCCGACAAAAATAACCCAAGAAATTCACGCTCTTCAAACCCATCAGAGCGCTTTTAATACGTTTTCGGTTTTGCTTAGGTCAATGAGCAGATGGTTGAAAAAACTGAATAAATGCGCGAGTAATTTGGGACAAACTTGGAAAAGAAACACTGAAAAAAAAATAAAAACTAAATCGACTTTTGGCCGCATTTTCCGATGGTTTAAGTTATTAATTCTCATCCGCAATGTTCTGCTGCGTCTAATTTATTAGGATATGTAGATACAACGAATATGAGAGTTAAAAGAGTCCTTGATCCCTATGGCGAGAAAAAATTTTCGAAAAGAAAAAGTAATAATCTTCACAACAGAATGCACACTCACCTAACGAGGAGACCAGCAACAGAGCTGCAGTAAATTTATGGAAATCATCCATTTGTTTTGAGGTTAATTTGTTGTCCCTTTGCCTTCAGTCGGACCAATAAATGCGTTGAGATCAGCGAGTTATCTAAAAGCAACCAAAATATTATTTCCGTATTGTGCGTATATATTATAAATATCTTTGAGATCAGTGCAAGATTGCTGTTAGTTGATTCTGAAAGAGCTTTCTCCTGTAAAAGAATGAATTTAGCTTACATTGTTGTTTTTACGTCTGCAGTCAGGCTTTTATAGAGCTGTTATTTGTTTATGGCTCGAAGCACAAAATTGATTGTCATGCAAATTAATGACATCTGGACGTTTATGTTGCATTTTGACTGAAACGTCACTTAATCGAGGGAATTTGAATATTAGAATAGCAAAATAATTTAAATGAATGTTTAGAAACACTTTTCTAGAAGTCTTTAACTATCCATAAACTGAAATATTATCCTTGCAGCAGCCAACTTTTCCTTCGTTCAAGCCAATTGCACCAAAACCTTACCAACGCATTCAAGGAAATGGTAACATGATGTTTTAATATATTTGTTGTCCATGTTCATTAAGAAATGGAGTAGTTCTCAATTGTCTCACAATTATTCGCCCTCGTCACAATTCACGCAGTCCTGGCTTAAAATGTGCGCGCTCCCGTTTTTAACCATCTGCTTTCTACTTTACTTGTAAGTTCCTTTCTATTCTACGAATACATAATTACTGAAGTCAGAATTAAGAAAACGCCAACAAAAATACATATATAGATGTTAGAATAATATAAATTGTCTTGCTTCAAAGGCATGACTTCTTCAACGTATGCAATATTCACGCCTTTTTTTTCATTTACATCACACAATTGAGAAGATAACACAATCGTCTTGGTAACCAGATATGCCAGCTACACCGGTCATCTTTTTCAAGAAACATGACAAAGTTAAATTATTTCATACGGTGCAATCGTTTTCGTTAAAAAAATTAGCAAAATAATTTGCGGGAAACAATTATTAAACGGTTGATCGTTTTGTCTCACGATGTAAAGTCGATTTATCATTTGCAGTTAATCGCAATATAAACGATTAAACCTTCATTTATCCATATAGCCTAGATGAACAACAACATCTGTATGAAATGAGAAAAGTTGAAATACCTCTGCCTTTTAATTTGAAGATTTCGTCGTTCATCTTTTGGAGTAAAATTCAAACTGATCGACAAGAAAATTATTTCTCTGTACTTTGGATAATAGGTGTAGATCCCGACACAGAACACATCTCTGGAAATAAGAAGATGCTTTTATTAAAAGAAAAATGCCTAATTCAGAGTTATTGATTGGATTGCTCAAAAGCGCAGGTGAAGCTTTCAGGACCTTAATTAAATTGTCAGAAAGGCAAATAACCTTTTTTCATAAAATGATTGAACCATTTTAAATGTCATTCTGCTAAAATACAGTTGTGTAAACTATGATTACGGTCCACGTTCAGTCTCTAAGTGCCACCAAAAATAAATAAAATGGAAAAAGGAAATAATAATCCATTTTCCAGCTATACGTGGGAGGACTGGAGGCTTGCTTCATTATAAAAAGCTCCTTAGTTAGCAAAGTTTCTTTGCGGATGAAAAATATTAAAAGGGGGTAAGTTTCTAAAGAAACTGTGGTGCTGCGTCGGTGGGAGAGTAGAACAGGGTAATTAAGAATTATCAACGGAGTTGGATTTAAATCGCTCAGACGAAGGGTTAACGCTCGAAACGTCAGACTTTTAACTCCTTAAGACGGCCAATTTACTTTATCAACTCAGTTGATAAAACTAAATTACCTTGAAAATGTCACAATACTTGTGGCTAAAAAGAAAATTAAAAATAGAGCTACTTTGAATCTTAAACTTCCTTGTGTGAATGCAAGACCGGAAATTATTCCGCAAAATACTTCGAAAGTAGAGGAAAGGAAAACTCTGAAAGACTGCTTGAGCATTATTTTAAGATCCTGAAATACGCATCTGCCGTAATATTTCCCTCCCCACCCTTGGTTTTTATATCGACGATAAGTTGCAACGAGTTAATGTCACGTAATTTGCTATTCCAAAGATTTACGTATGTAATAATTCATAAAGCTAAACAAGAAGTGGCGCGAGACAAATTCTCTTTAATTTCATTCATGTATACATATTTTTCTAAGTTATTTCTGTATCGATTTTTTTTATCATCATTCATCTTAGAAATGATTTTTCCGGATGAACGGGACAGTAGAATATTCAGCATTCATAACGATGCGCTGGATCTGATATATTGACTCAGGACACTCATTGCGGAATATAATTCGAACCACTTTTTATCGTTAGTATTCCGTTCATATGCATCCAGAGTTCTTTTGATATTTATTACTCTTAGATATATACCACTTTCTTGACACGAGGCATGAAAAATACGCAATAAGATACTAACAAATGAATAAAGTTTAAAATAGATCTGAACTGCAGATTGACGTCGTATCTGTTACATATTTGTTTATTTTTTCATTATTCTTTTGGTCATGAATTATTTTGATTCACATTCAATTTGAATTTATCTACGACATAGCCTTTGGCACACAACTACTAAATAAATAAAGGAAAAAAAAATGAAAATGCGTTAGTTTACGTCAAATGATGAGGCACATGGGTGGATCCCAATTTTTCATTTTTAGCCAAAATATGCTTTTCACGAGTGCTGAAGATAAAAGACAAACATCATAATTATTCATTTATTATAACTTAATGTAGCATTATTCATAGCATTATGTCGGATTCTATTTAAGCTAAGGCCCGCGGACTGACTTTTGTCGCTTGTGGCGTTGGCTTCAAGCTGCTCTAGCCACCTTTCAAAGAGACTATCGGCCATAAAAACAGACGCGAGACTTTGAGGCGAGATTTCATGATCGTACAAGACTCACGATTTTTCGGATGCCATTCGCTGCTCTTCTAAATGTTAACTTATCTCAACACCTCCCTGCACTATAAGGACGACTTAAGTTTTCATGACATCATTATAATTAATGACTAACGATGTGAACCAGAACGACCTAACTTAACTAACGCATCGAGATTGAACATCGATCTACCGTCGTCAGCTCTATCATACTAAGTGACTGCATATTCCCAAAAGTCGATTGAATCGTTTCTTTTTTCCAAATAAAGAGCTACTCATTGAAAGACTGCAATTCAACTGCCCACATATCGCCGGCATCATTTGGATCAATTTTTGAGGTTTTCTTTCCATGATCCACAGTAGCTGGGAAAATGGTGTTCATCTTCTTTTTCAATCGCTCTCTAATCTGTTGATGTACAGGCGACAAAATATAAGTTACTGAGCACTCAAATCTTGATTTATATCAAAATCAATATCATGTTCTTGGTGTGTATCCTCAGGTTCGTATCCGTCTCACCTGGCTGTTTCGCAAGCAGTGAAGGGCGAAAATCAGGAAACCCTAAAACAGAAAATTATTTCAAGATCAGCCTTAATTTGTCGATTTTGACGAGCAGTGATAGAGGGTCGTATGAGATATTTGATGCAGTGAGTTTATCATCACGTATAGTTTTCTTATAAAACGTAATAAAAAGGGTGAAAAAAATTTGCTAAAGCAAGTTGCATGTCTCATAAACCAAAGGATAATTTTTTCATATTGATTGGCTAATTGAATGCTCTTTGTTTCCAAGGTTTTTTTCACGAAAATATAATATGATGGATATGAGAGGATCTGGTTTTGGCATATAAGTAGTATGAGCATTAATGTATTCATACAGACAACTGATAATCGACAGTTTTACTCATAAGCTCACCTGCGTAGAATTGAAGATGGTGAAAATGTAGGCGAAAGCTTTGTGTAATGGTAAAAAAAGACCAAATAGCCACGTAACGCCCAGCAGTGGAAACATCACTAGGCATGTTCTTACGCCAAGTCTGAAGATTAATGACAATACGTGACTTGTGGATTTAGACGTTCGTAGTCGACCTTTCAGTTGAAGTCGTAACGCCTCGTTGTTTATGATTAACTAGTAGGGAACCAACTGAATTAGCCAGATACCTCAGAGCTCGCTCCTATAACAATTCGTTTTCGTGTGCTTGTTTTTCCCTTATTGCACTCATTTCAATCGTTTGGTCAAATGTTAAAGTTTAGATCCTACCGTATTTGCTGAATATGGTTGGCTTCTTCTATAGGTTGTACAAGTGTGGTCATCTCCTTTATGACTCGGACCAGTATCGAAATGTTGAGCTGAAACAAAAAATTGATACTTTTAATCATAAGATATCGTTAAATAGAAAAAAAAATTTATCTGTCTTGTCAGAAGCGTCGTAAAAAGGAAAATTGTGAATCCCCAATCCGAGTCTTCGAGTTACGTGCCCCGATTCTCCAAGAGAGACTAGACAGCTAAAGCGAACAGGTTCATAAATGAAAAGCGTTCCTTCATACTGCTAAAATCAGAAATACTGTAAAAATCGTGTGAGTGATTAGTAATAGAAATATTGCAAACTTTGAGTATGGTCGTCGAGAATAGAAATGCGTTCTTCCTGGTACATTAAAGAAATAATGAAGAATCTATCATTGGTCGACTTACACCTTCAATGAACGCCACAAATGCGATGAATATCCAGATCAGGTTGTCAGCGGAGGACAGCCAGCAGCTTGAAATGAGATGAGGACAAAAAAAAGACGGATTTGAACGAAATAGCTCCTTCAACCTCCCCGTGTCAAAACACCTTAGAAGCGAAACATTAGTCAAAACACACACGAAAAAAATGAGTTTATGTGAAAGACGGAAAAGACGGAGAAGGATATGAGACTAGTAGAGAGGGAACTTCTTACTATTTATCACTGGTATAGCTTTGAATTTCCTCTTTTCCAGCGGCGATGCTTAATGAAATACCGACCATGATGATGGGTAAACCTGAGTATAAATAGGAGGAAGTCTACATAACTCACGGAATTACATATCCAATCAGAAGCGATTCAAAATGAGGAAGGTAGCAATAACTCACAACAATTAAAGTAACGTACCCCATGAGATGACGTGAAACATGTGCATCTTTTCGGTGATGTTGTAAACTTTCACAACAAGCAGATAGAGATAAATTGCCTCGATCAGCATCCAACAGAAAGCAGCCATTAGGAAATACTGCGTCAGAGCTGCTACTGCGACACAAGCAGTCTGCCAGAGAAAAAATTAGGTTTTTTTTTACTCTCCTATTTACAAAATTTAATAAGCTTTAAAATTTTTTTTTTTTTTCAAATAAGGGATTTATAAATGACTCACCGTGTCTCTCGTGGAGTTTATCCCGGCGAGAAAGATTATTTGTCCAGCTCCGATGGCCACAGAGAGATTCAACCGTATTTGAGACAGAGGTTGATCAACATCACTAGTAAAAAAACCAAAATAAAAACAAACACACAAACAAACAAAACGAATCGAATAATTCTATGATAACGTATAATACTCATTTCATGTCGTAGCAGATGAGGCAATTAAATTACTACTGCCACTGAAGAGGAAAAATTTTATCTTTATTTTATTCTTCCATATCCATAGCAAATATAATCATTATCATAAGCATTGCTGCGACAATTTTTCAAGGTTCAAAATTTTTTAGAAAAAAAAAAACTAGACATTGGTTATACGTTTTCATAAAAAAAAGATACAGTTAACTTGTCAAAATGCGAGTCAACAACGCGTTCACATGACGTGTTTTGTCCACTCGCAAGGCCATGGCGTCTAAACTGTCCCTTTAACTGTCCTATTATACCTTCCAATTTCAAGCATGACGCACACACTGTCCTATTAGTGCTGAAATCGGGCTGGTGATAGCCAATTACGTGCGAATTTTCTTAGAGTTTTGATTAATCCTTAAATAGTCCACCTACAGTACTCACGTGAGGAAGTAATAGGCTATAATTGTCAAAAGTATCCCCGTCGTGGAAAGGCTTAATCCTACGTAAGTGATAATTTCCAGTATGGTTGTGTCCTTCTCGGTGAGCTGTGACACAAATTTCATTATAATAAAAAAGAATGTTACCAAAATCAAAGGGATTGTATTAAAAATGTTAAAGATACGATTACCTTAGGGCTACCGTTGTAATCGACTAAAACGGCAAAATGGGTCAAATGATTGCAGCTGCAAACTGTGTCTGGTAAGTGTTTTTTCGATTTTACAACGTGACATCCTCTCTCTGAATATCCGTCTGAGCTGCAAAAAAGAGAAAACAGAAAAAATACAAAAGGTACCTAATCACGCAAGAAATATTAAAGAAAAGCGGAACAAAAAGAAACAATTATTTCCTTCTCCTACCGAGTTCAGAACCTAAACGCTTTTGTTGACTTATGATTTCGATTGTTGATATTTACGCAAAATACTCCTTAACCTGTCTACCTGATTTGCCGCCAAGAAACAATTTACCGCCGGGGAAAAAAGATATATTCCAGTTCCTTACCTTTCACTGAAGCCACTCCAAAACACGCATTTCTTCTCTCCTTCATCAGCCTTAAAAAATACATTTTAAATCTTCAGAATAGACTTAACGCAGATTAACTAGTCTTAATTTTACTATCTCTGTTACCCTGAGATTTCTGAACTTGAGGATGACATTTTCTTGCAATGCTTCCGGTTTTGGATCCATAGCTACAGCTATTATCCTGGAGTCCAAATGCCTATGAAGAAAGTTGAATATGAATGAAAACAGAAAAGGTTGAAAGTATGGTTATCATTGGGAATAAGGCAAGCTAAGACCCTTTTCAAATCAATGACAAATTCGCAGTTACTTCATAGATGATTGGCTGATGGTAATTGACAAGCAAAACACCAGCTGGGTTTTGACAATTTTTCAACATCACTTTTGCTGAGCCCGCAATTTTCTCTTTTTTATATGCAATTAAAGCTGCATTTGGTTGATAAAATCAGAGAGATAACGCCACCTTTCTTTTCCTGTTTTATCCCTGATGGGTTGATTTGTGAGTAGTACTTCATGGAGATCCGTGTACACAATCCCAACAACCAGCGACACTAAAGGAAAAAAAAAGGAAAACGATATCGATCTCTTTGCAACTTGACAAACCAATTGCTATTTGGAAGGAAAACAAAGGTACATTGCAAATTAAGGGTTAAAAAAAGTAGTCAACACAAACCATTGTTCGCAAAATTTGCTGAGGAAACTTTCATGCTCGCTTTCAATTCTTGTTCTCCGAAATAGAAGTCATTGGCACTTTGTCGGTGGGCTTTTTTAAAAACCAGTACTGACGGAGAAAGAATAATGGATGGTTCAGCTGGTATTGAACTAAACAATAACATGTGAACGCACAAAGGCATTTCTTTTCTTTACCTCCCAAAAGTTACGGTTCTTTACGATCATAAAAACATCGACGCGAAGAGTTTTAAGAGGCGTTTATTTTTTTCCTTTTTGAAATATCTTCAAATGCCTTCCTCTACCATCGTAATTGAAAAACAAAAAGTCCAAGTCGGGGAATAGATTGACTAATTTGATCCAATAGTGACGTTTCTCAACAGATCATGTGTATAAACTGTCACATCATCTAAGCAGTTATCCATTTTGTGAACCACTCACCCACTCAGTAGATAGACAAGTGCTATATCACCCCTGATCTGAAAAGATGGTTGTGTTCCGACTCACCCATTTTGCGGCTTTTTATCACTTCTAAAGACCTCATCCTAGTCAGGTGGTGCTTGCTATAACTGAGAGCATATCTCTCGAAGTTGACTGCCACCTTGAAAATTGATTTCCTTCTTATTTCAGCCTCTTCAATGATAGCAGGTTTCGTGATGTTTTTAATACCTGTGAAGAAGTCCTCGAAAACTCCTATGGCCTCCTGTAGTTATATGAAATACATTTTGGTAAGGTAATAATAAGACGATAATTACTTGGCATTAATGCAAGTCAAAGAATAGATCTGAGTCTCTAATGAAAATTCCAAAAAGACTAAAATACCTGTATAGAATTGTTTCTGGTGACATCTATTCTTGCAAGTTTAAAAACATATTCCCTTACCTAAAAAGGAGAAAGTAACAGTTACACTTATGGGCCAAAGACAAGCACAGGGGCTATGATTGAATGGAGTACGCACCAGCTTCTGAATTGTTCTCGACGTCGACGTCGACGGCGACGGCAACGGCGATGTTGAAGTCGGAGGGGACGGTGATGGCAATGGCGATGGCGACAACGACGGTGATAACGAAGCACAAGGTGATTTAGAGAGTAAAAACGAGGACGAAGGTGTGGATGAAGGCGAGGACGTGAGTGAGGGTGAGTGCGACGGCGACGAAAACTCCAAAGGCGACTTTTTCGGTGACGATGATGAGGACACTTGCGGTGATAGAGCCGATTGTGTCCATGTCGACATCAATGGTGCAGAGGGTGCAGCAGGTAACGGTGAGAGTGATGATGTTACCACTGATATTGATAAATTTAGGGGGAAAAAAAGAATTTTTTAGCATAAATAGGACATTCTGTTGTAAAGAACGCATAAAACAGCTACAACACAAAATAAGTTTAGGAATAGATCAAATCTCTAAAAGAAACATAATACCTTCGATTAAAGCAAAGCCCATGACTGGAGGTATTTTCAATTACTGTTACTCCTGTTACTGATACAGATAGCAGGCGGGCAAACTATCAGTTATAAACCTGCAATCGTTTTTACCCGAGGGTAAACCTAAGACCTGTATATTATGACAGTTATTAACTCTTTTCCGGGCACTATGGGCTAAAATGGAGTATTTGGTGGCCTAAGATGTATTTTTTTTCTCGACCAAACTTCATTCATAATACTGGAAGCAAAAATTCATCTTGATTGTAAGAAGCTTCATAGTTTCATAGATGATCAAAATAAAGTGGCAACTTAAATCGATCAAGAGTTATGGTATAGACCTCTAGTCAATTAGCGTGAATTTCCTGAAGCTTTTAGATAAAGGCGTCTGTACATAAGTTTACCTATTTTGTTATCAAATGTAAAGGAAACGCTACAAACAAACGGCTAGTTTTTATGTGAAGGTACAATAATCTATCAATAATAATACTGTATAGTAACATTATTTGCATAGCCAAATCTATTTAAATTATCATTGCTTTCAATGATGTCGCAAAATCAAAACTTATTGATATAACACAAACATGATTACGCTTCACTTACAATACCATAAGTGGGTAGCATTTCTACTCATCGTTTCGTCTGATCATTTTAACCCTTTTTCGATTATGTTCGCAACTGTTAAAACTGGCATTTTACTCTTCCAAGAAAGCTGAACGCCTGCTGAAGCCATCTTGGTTTGATTTTTAGCAAGGGCTGGGTACAACCTAGGCAAACTAACCGCTGACCTGCAAGGCGTTCGAAGGCGCAACTATAATGGAGAGACAGCATATATGTGGAGAGCTTGGAGAAGTTCAGTTTCCTGAAGTTCTTTAAAGGAGCACACAAACACAAAGAACACAAACAGCAAGGAAATTCATTCTTTTGACAACAAAAATGTTGATAAAATTGGCGGAAAATGTTACGTTTTGCTACAATTTCTTTTTGTGGAAAAGTGCCATATGAATTGCTCCGTGAGCCAAAGTAGGCCAAAGAAAATGCCAGCGTAATAGGGAAGGGCCCATTGTCAATCACATTGGCCTTACATTAAAGCTTCTAGCACAAAGCCACTTCTTTTCTAATATTAGTGAAACCTGCAGGATCCATAGTGATAACATCTTAGCGTTTCAGGAATTCCCTGTACCTTAATTACTCTCTTTAAGACAGTTGTAGTTTTGAATTACCTTTATGAAACTCACAAATGTAAGGAGAATCTGCATCCCTAGCTCCAGATTTGACTTGCATAAATCCATTGTTAGACTTCCAAGAAATGGATGCTACCTCTCCATCAGGGTTAGACAAGTTTTTTATCCATTGCTTGAAATTTAGTTGTCTTCCATTCACCCAAGTCCAATTGCCAGCTTTTTTTTCTAAGCCAATATGATAAAATGTATCATTGGACTTCTGAATCTCTTTCTTGATAAAATTCCGTTCATCTTCTGTCTCTATGGAAACCAGGTCTCCTCCTTGGCTTCGACAATGGTCTCTGCTCTTGTTCCATGTTCCTCCCTTCTCCAGAAATGTGTACAAACGGTTTTCAAAAGAAGGATTTGGGCATACTACAAATGAGCGTAATAATGATAATAATATCAATGAAAATGATATAGACAATAACATTGACAAAGATGTTGCTAATGACAATGATAGTCTTAATTATCGTAATGTAATAATAATGATAATGATACTAATGATGAAAGTAATGATGATGATCATAGTCAAAGGTGATTCTAAACTAGCGAGAACACGTGTCATAGAACTTGATATTTTTTCCTAATATCTACAGAGTATTTGATCGATCCATATCATGCAATACATCTCTCTCTATTTTGGCATTTTGCCTTCTTGAAAGTGCTCTGATTTTACCTTCTGTGTCATGTCAGTGTAGATTTAAGAAATGTTACAGATAATGGTCTTTGAATGATATACACGAGATGCCATTATAAAGGTTGCCAGATGAATCTACGACGTCTTTCCACGTAAAAGCATCACTTATAATAATCTGTGCCTGAATTTTCGGTATTGAAGAAATCAGTCAGAAATTATTCCTACTTGTGCATATTTGATAAAGAGAGGATATTAAATGGCCGCGTAGGGATACGAATTTTATCTTCTCGTGCTGAAAGTATCTCTCACGAGTGTGAGAAGATAAAAACGAAGATAAAACTCGTATCCCCAAGCGGCCATGTAATGATCTGTTTATTTAATTTATACTAATGAAATTTCAAAAGAACCGGCCGCGCGCCTGAGCTGGAAGCTCTCTTGTAATTGGCTGATCATGTTTGTAACCATGGCGACACCAATATCCTCAAACATGAAAGATAAAAATAGTATCTTCACTGCACGCGATGAAGATATGACTTTTTAGTAAAAGGAAAATACTGGTATTTCATCAGTATGTTTACAATAAAATTGGATCTACATTACTTCACCTGGTCCTTGCAGTTGCATCATCAAAGTAAGGGTAACTGCATAAGAGAAAACAAAAATATACATTGCTTATAACTAGAAGACTATTATTCCAAACAAAATAAGACTATTAGAAGAAGCAATTCTCGAAAAGAGATATAAGGAGAGAAAACTGGATCGAGGGGAAAATAGGTTAGCAACGTGTGTTAATTCAATGATATCTAAAAAGAAAACAGAGAGAGAGTTAAGGGTTTTAGCATTTTCTTTCTCTTTTCCGAGCTGCTGCTAAAGGAATACCAGTTAGCTCTAAACTGACAGCATTTTTCTTTTATTTAACTGAATTTTAACAGTTATTGCAGATTGTGTGTATAAGACAGTTGATGATGTCACGTGAACACGTCCCATGTCACCTAGCCTAGACACGATAAAAGTTGAACGACTTAAGATTTTTTAGGTCTTATAAGCCTAGCTTTTGCTATCCTACCCATAAGCATTTTAATATGTGACCCTCCACGTGGTTTCAGGGAATAAGGTGAACGCAAGTACACGGCACGTTCTAACACGCTTGCACGCTAATGGCATGACACGCTTACCGTGCAGGTATGCGCACAAAAACAGTTGATCTTGGAAAGCGTGTTCGTAGCCATTGTTCATATCTTGCTAACACGGTAGAGCTTTGTTTCTAGAACACGCTAGATTTTTTTTCTTTTTAGCGAGCTAAGTTCCACTGTTTCCTTACCACGCCAGCTTATCTTGTACACCCCAACTCACTTTGTTACTAATGTTTATCATCTTCTTAATTGTGAGAATGGTTTTTTTGCGAAGTATATTACTTACAGAATATAGGCAAAAATAAAGAAGATCTTATGTCCTATCCGAAAGTTGTAAGAAAAAGAGTAATATTGACGGCAAATCTTTCCTTCAGGATTTTCACACGGAATTCGATGAGCATGACTTGTTTTACAAGGTCTAGAGGAGCTCAGTTTCAACACATGAATTACTTTTTTAAAGTTAATTCTTACCTTGTAAACTATAAATCCTTATCGCTCTATGTACAAATCGAAAGCAACTTCAACTTTAAGTAGCGTGTTGTATTGTTCGAAGTTTCGGGCAAGATCTTAACACGTTCCTTTGCTTCCACCATGCGAAGCAAGACAATGGCTGCGAAGTTAACGAGGCAAGTAACTAACACGCAGCTCACGTGTTAAACCTAGTTCTTTTGATTCAGCGTGCGTACGTTCACCTTATTCCCTAAAATCCCGTGGGGGATTACATATAAGAAATTTAGGCATGCTCTAACCACCAGTTTTGCTGTAAATCTGAAAAAATCCTGCCAGAGAATTTCGAAAATAAAATCGGTGTTTCACTATTATTATTATTGTTATTATTATTATTATTTTATAGTGAGGCGCAAGTTCGCATGTCAGAAGAAAAGATTTAAAGCAGAAATTTGAAGCTACATTTTTCCCTAGTTGAGAACGGTGTATTTTTACATCTGAAATATTTTAATTTTTCAAATTAAGCCTGAAAAATATCGTAATCTTAATATTCAGCTCTAAAGTTAGGTTGATTACATGAGGACTTTGCCTTCGCAAATTTGTTCTGAGCCATCAATAAGTAGATAGGAAAAGTAGACGGCAAATGATATGAAGAAAATGTGTACTCCTATAGGGTCTAGAGGATGCCAGTCAAAAAACGGATTACAAAATTCGCTTCCAAAAAGCAGAAAAATGCTGTTCATAGTTCGAATTCAATCAAAGTTACACAGCATTATTGCAAAAACAATGAATATCATCAATTTGAACATTTTCGCCCTCGATATTTTGATAATTTATTGGATGACTTACTATTCTAACCGGAGTATTAAACTTTTCCGTTGCACATTCACTCGGCTTCAGATCAAAATTTTAGCAAAGAAACTCGAAGTAAAACCTCTCCACTGCTGCTGATTAACATTCGTCTCGATAAACGGCAGATAATGGCGTTTTAGCTTCCGAATTGTTAACAGGCTCGTTTCTGTACAGAATGTAATAGTGTCTTCCTTTTGCATGTGTTCCTCGTCAAGACAAAGCATTAATGAATTAATTAAAAGCTTTACTTAACATATCATTTAAACTGCATGCGAACAATTGTTTCCTGGCTAATCGTTTTCCAATTTTATTTTTCATCTTATCAGAATTTAGAATAAACATTGCGAAAGGCTCGAAACCCCAATTCAATTATTTTCATCGCTTTCGTAGTGAAAGTAATCATGAAAATTTTCAGAGAGCTACATGAAGGCCACTTGGCTTTATGCTTCTCAGTTTTGGCTAAAGGGATTCATGATGTTTGCATCTATCTGAAATATCTCAGATCCCTGTTTCATCATTCACTTCTCGCGTAACCAAGAGATGTGATAAAGCTTTTACTTACTCAGCGAAAGACGTAGAGACCGGTCTGTGAACATTTTGCCGGATTGGAGCTTACTCATCGCCCAATTTATCGCGTTACCATAAGAAAATGTCGGTAATCCAATGATGGCTCGAGACTTGGTAGCAGCACATGTATGGCACCCGCAAATTTTTAACGAACGTTGTTCTCTTTGGCAGGAGGTTGAATGTTATAGACAGCTCAAAACTCGATTGCTCTTTCCTTACGTGAGTAGTTTTTTTTCTAAATGAACGGACCGATGGCCTTGAGGTTATTTTCACTAGGTGCAAAGCGCTGTTTTGTTTTTTTCCTTTTAAAAACTAATTTATGAGCCTTGTTTATAAAAATATTTGCCTTATTCAAATCAGCATCCTGCCAACCGGAAGCAAGTGCGAGTATCTCATCTGTTCATCAGCACGAATGGAAATAATCATCATCTCTCCTTCAAACAGATGAAGCTCCTCGATGAAAGCGGTACCTTCGTAAGAGGGAATGATTCGGTCACATGTACATGCAAGTGCGCTTATTAAAATCTACCGTAGAAGGGCAAGAAATGTCTGTGAACTATTTGAAATCAACTCGTAACTTCTAATGAAAATTAAAAATTCCTTTCTCGCACTTTGTTGTAATTGTCCCACTTTGTAAAAACACTTATCGCACTTTTTGATTAAAAAAGCTCTCGCATATGACGGACAAACACACTTTATAAAAAAGCTAGCTGACGCGCACTTGTCATACCTTATAATAACACTTGTCGTACTTTGTAATAACACGTCATATGCTTTGTTATAACACCTGTCATACTTTGCAATAGCACGTCATACTTTGTAAAGACACTTGTCATATTTTGTTAAACGCTTGTCGTACTTTGTAAAAAAAAACCCATTGTGTGCAGTGTTGTCATGGTAACCTTGTCATATCATCTATTTTGGTGACGCTGTCAACCAATCAACTCTTCAAAATTTCTCGGCTTATATTATACCATATGGTCTGTTATTGCAAAGTGCGACAAGTGTGATCATAAAATACGACAGGTGTTGCAGAGTGCGACGATTTTTACAAAGTGCGAAAGAACAAAACTTCCGATCACAGTCCTTTAAGGCGGTTTTGTCACTATTATTTTTTGGCTTGTGGAGACGCAATTTATTCTGAAACATTTATCCCAATACCTTGCCCAAGCAAAAAACAAAGGAGAGCTTTTTTCGACGAGGTGTCAAGAGGAGCGATCTTATCAGAAGTTAGTTTAACTAAATTTTCAGACACGGCCTCCATGAAAAGCAGTTTTTATTTTCACTGCTTGAAGCGCAGGAAAACGTTATGACTTAGTCGTGTTCGGTTTAAGTTTGGTTTCTGATTGGTAACTGTCGGTCGATGCTTTGTATCCCACGCTATTGACAGGTCTTATCTGATCAGAAGTAAGTTTAAATAAATTTTGAGACACGGCCTCCATGAAAAGCTGTTTTTATTTTCGAGGAATTTTTTAAATTTTTGTTGTTTTATTTAGGTAGATAGTTTGGTATCTTAATTGGACAAATGGAAGCACCGTGTATATTAAATAAAGTTATCGTATCGCGAGCGGCACTTAATTCATTTCTACAGGGAGGAGGTGAAAGTGTAGAAAATATTTTGTAAGATGAGACTCAAGGAAGCAGGAGCTTAATAAAAAAAAATGGAAATAAAAGATAGACCACAACTGTCAATAGCGTGGGATACAAACCATCGACCGTCAGTTACCAATCAGAAACTAAACTTAAACCGAAGACGACTTGGTCACGCGCGTTTTCCCGCGCTTCAAGCAGTGTGCCTGGTTTTACTGCTTCTCGTGATAATTTTTTTTTTCTGATTGGCTTTTATCGTGGTTGATTCTTAATCAGAGAAAGGCTACCCTTAAAAAAATTCCTCAAGAAGTTTCTTTGTGTCACGGTTTATTAACTTCAAAAGTCACTTGTGTTTAAAATTGTTTGGTAATGTATCCCCTGTTCTTTGACATTTTGGGCTAGCCTAACCCCAAGAAATTTCCTCAAAACAAGGCTAAAAACAAAACAAAAACGATGAAAAAATAGAATAGAAAAACCTGGAGTTACTCTAGAAGGTGTGTAATCCTCGTATCAATTCAATTTTCCTGTTAATGTTTCAATAAAGAACTTTCCTGAGGGTGACTCAATTATTAATTCTCAGTAAGAGTCAAATGTTAGTCTTTCATTTATGCTTTGTCGTGGAGCCTAGAAGACTATGCGTGGAGTCAAAACAACTCCGTAGTCTTATTAGCTGAAAAAATGATTTACGTGTTTTGTGTCCTTCCATTCACTCTGCCTAAAGAAGTTAAACCGTCATTTGAAACTTCTAGAGGTATCCAGTAAGATGAATGATTTGATAGTCAAAATAATAGACTTCTGGAATTAAGAACGGAAATTTTACGTAATGCAAATCAATGAACCAAATCGAAGCACATTACCGTGTTCCGTCATGTGGTTCTGGCAAAGTTTTCCCACAATTTGAAATCATTAAAAACCAAAGGAAGATGATTGAAAAAAAACATATCATAAACGTTTATTCTGCCAAAAGGACAGGTGTAGTGAAAGTGAAATGCTTAGCGTGTGCATATTGATGCATGCGGAAAGTTTGGAGGTCACGAAAGTAGCATAACAATTGCCTGAGACGAAGCCGAGAGCAACTCTAGCCTCTTTAGTGCTCTCCAAGCTTCTCAAGTGCGTTAATAACTCGACATTCGCACAGCTAAAAGCGTGCACTAATTCTTTTATAACAGAGCGGACAAAATTTGTGCATGAGAAACGAGTTCTAATACAATTGAGTCAGATTAACCCAAAAACCGTGAATAAAAGGGAAGGCAAATTGACAAAGAAATATTTCGAAACCAAAGCTTTACTCAAAGAAATTCTAACTTTCCTGCTTCGCGGTGAAAACCGTACGAATTTCTTGCATGTGCGAGACCTGCGTAATACACTGATGAAATTCACGGAAAGGAAATTCTGAAAATTTTACGATTGAACCTCGCTTCTCGCTTCGATTCTTGGAAACTTTTCGAAGATCAAAATGTAACTTACTCTTTTAATATCTCATTTCTGGCCAGTTACAGTGAGTATTAAATACAGTTAGCAAATAACTAGTTAAAAAAACTGCAAATTGCGCACAAACAATATATACATAAAAGTTTACAAACAAATATATTTTGTACAAAACACAACTAGCTCGAATTAACGACGCAGTAGCTACTTACTTTGTTAATGTTTTTGTTTATGTATTAGGGTAGGTGGGAGGCTTATTTTTAGAAAATGTTTTCCCAAATAACTCGAAGTAAAATGCTTGGGTGTCATATAAGAGAAGATAGCTTTCTCATAAGATTGGATGGTGGCCCGTACGGGTATGGTGACACCCCCTCCACCCCTCCCCCCTTTCCCGACAATAAACAGTTTTAAATTCCATTTCGTTAAGGAATTGCCATTATTTGAACCGTCTTATCATACAGTGTTACAGTATCTTATCCAGTTTCCAGCCTTAAGTTATACTTCTACTTTAAGTATTGAGCCTTGTGCAATCTTCCATAGCCACCTCCCCCCTTCCCCGTATAATGAATTAGGGACCTTTAGCAGTTAGGACAGCAACGCCAATGAACGGTATATTTTTAGTTGGAACTTCGCGAATGGCTGGATGTGTTTACGATCTCTTACGGTTCCGCAAGTTAACCATAGAATAATGTATGAGAGACTAATTTATCGTCGGGGTTTCCTTTCTCAGACCACGCAGATGTTGACGAGTTCACGTTATCATTTTGCAAAGGACGGCGAGGAAATGAACACAGTTTAAAAACGCACGTGCTGAGCTAATGTTCTGCTCATTAGATCCTTTGTTTAGCCTCGTTCTCGTTGCCGCCGCCGTCGTGGTTTGCTAAAGGTCCCTAATTGTTTTGCACACCCAAGGAATCATGCAGATGTCTATTCGAATCAGGAAAAGAAAAGGAATCAATAATTGATGCATCTAGAGACAGTCATATTAATTTCTTTAACGAACTTTCTTTTATGTTGATAGCTACACACAAGAAAATATTCAAGTTTTGTAAAAAGCAGCTTTACTTAAAAAAAGAAAATATATAACTTGAAGAGGGCATTTTTTTTTTCCAGTGCACTGGTAAGATATTAAAATACCCTCGATCTCAGAAAGGCCGGAAACTGAACACTGTAGTGTGAGAAGCAAGCGATGGTTTATGCCCAGCAGCAAACCAAGCAGAATCTAGATGATGCCTTGTCATAAGTCTGATTATGATAATTTTAAAATAATGCGCAAACACAAATTTTTAACTCTTTAAGACAATTTACTTCGAAAACGTTCCACTGAATAGATCAAAACATCAAAGAAAACTACGCATCCGAAAAACCACCAGGTTTCTTTACAGGTTACAATTCAACACGCGTCACGTGATAATCACAAGATCCGGTGACACTACACATACGTTACATTTCGTGACATACTCTACTGCTAGCGTTACATTTCGAGAAATTCTACAATGATAAACTCAAGTAACAAGGGTTGTTTTTGAACAACATGAAGCACTTCAGAACACATGCGTTGCATTTCGTGACATACTCTACTGCTAGCGTTACATTTCGAGAAATTCTACAATGATAAACTCTGGTAACAAGGGTTGTTTTGTAAACAATATGAAGCACTTCAGAACAATTTTTTTTGTGATATAGCAGTTGATTTCAACATATCAGGGACGTTTAGCAAACTACGACGGCGAAATTCTAACTAAAAATATAAATTCAATTTTGAATATATACTTTTAACGTCCCCTTGGCAATTTGCCGTCCTAACTGCTTAAGGTTCCTATCATGAGAGACAGTGCTTATTGTGAAGCCCATGGGTCACAATATTACTATAATTGTTATCTACTTATCGTTATATATGTCAAATCTTACCTTCACTTTGATTGGTTCTCACGATATATTGGAAGACAGATGCATAGATGACATCAACATTAAAAGCATTTTGGTATTTTACCATATTCAAGTTGCCACAGATCACAGATGAAGTGAAACATGGTAAGAATATCAGTGACACACTTCAGTGCACCACTTGTACGAAATTTTTATTCTAACCACATTCTGACATCATCTATACTCTATAACTGAAAAGGTGCACAGCAACATGGAATCTATTAATTAATACAAGTAACTGCATGTACACAATTAGCATGATGCACCACTCGCTTGTTGGCTTTGTCCAACGCCCTCCATCAAGGGATCAACTTCATACTACAGGTGAATGGAGGTAATAATCAGAATTAGTATTAAAGTTAAAAACTTGGATTGCTTCTCAACATACATTACTGTAATAATAATAATAATAATAATAATAATAATATCATTATGATTATTATTATTATAGTTATTATTTCAATGTCTCAATGGACAGGGGTGTATTGACATATTATTATATTTGTTATTACAGTATTATTACAAATATAATATAACATCAAAATAAATTGTAACAATAGCCTTGAAAAAATGACTAGTCAATTGATGAGTTGCACATTTTTGATGAGTGATTGATTTCTTACAACCACTCTCAGATAATGCATGACACTTCTGTAACTCCTAATTGCAGGACTGTGATTATTTTAGATGTTTCATTTATGTTTGACGTATTGGCAATTAAATATTGGTCCTGACCAGATCCTGTATAATGACTGATTAGATTAATAATTATGCAGTTTCATAATGAATGTCATTAAATTGCAATTACATGAAGTCAAAAATGAGTATCACAGGTGAGTTGCAATTTTAGCACTTGCAGAGAAAAAAACCCTGAAAAAATTCTGGTTTTGGTGGCATCCAAACCCATACCCCCAGATACTATTTAATGATTGAGCTACAAAGCCACATGATGGAAGAGAGGCAAATTTCAAGAAGGTTCTTCTTTCCCCAAGAGGCATCTCTAGAATATTTTCCCACTCAGTACCTATCTGATAACAATTTGAATGAAATAAATTCCATCAGATTCCTCCACAGGGAAGAAGATTGAGAACCCTCTCAAAATTGGCTAATAACAGCTCAGTTGTGGTAGTACTCAAATACATGTATAAGCTGGACGGCAAAGATTCAAAACTCATCAAAGCCTGATTTTATCCTAGATTCTTTTTTGCATATACCAAAAATTTCCATTCACTAGCATGGATCCTTTCAGTTCAGTTCAACTTGTTCTTGAAGATTTTATTTTAATGTTTATTTCCCTCTCGCCTTCAATAGCTTTGCTATTTTGCAGGTAGGGATAGTGCGATATGCATCTTAATTGCTGACTCAGAGGTAAATAAATTTTGTTGTTTGTTGTCCTTATTGATCATCACTTAACTTGATATACTAACTATGTATCAAAATCTTCGTCAATGAGCTCTCAAATGTGAAACTTACATCATCATTCTTGTCCATTGGCTTTTGATCATTGACAAAGCAGAGGGCAGCAGACCATAAAGCTGCAATCATTTCCAGCAAAGTGAATGCAAAGATGGAGCCCACAAGGGCATGCTCCTCATTGTAACGAGCATCAACAGCAAGAGGTGCTTTAGCAGCAGTGAAAGAGTTGTCATCAAAATCACGGTTGCCAGAGGTATAATATAGAAATGACCTTTGGCCTGCCACAGCCAATTCCAGCCCATAATTAAACATGATCATGCTTGAGAGAATACCACACACCAGGGAGAAACCCATCAATGTCATTGCCTTAAAATATAAAAATGGAGTTTGTAGAAGTTTAACAACTTGAGTACTGTGTGTTTACACTCTCTAAATATTTAGGAATTCCATGGCAACCACAACAGAGTAGCAAACATTTTAGGACCCATTACTGCTAACCCAAGGTTAACTTTTAATCTGGGTTTCTTTTTTCCAAATTCCTTTGCAGCATTTTTTTAGTTTTTTTTTTCTCTTTTTTCTTAAGAGCATCCAATAATCAAGTTCTTGACAAAAACAATTATACTAAAGTTTCTTTTCAAGCTTTCAGATCTGAAATCAGATTTCACAAGAACCTTTAGTAACATGTATCTTGACCAAGCTTTGAACAACCCAGCCCTGATCAAAGTACAAAATAACCAACTAAGTTTACACTTGATGTTAACCCTCTAACTCCCAGAAGTGATTAACATGTAACCTCTCCCTGCAATATCTAAAAATTATCCAGCAAACAGGTAATGAGAATATTCAAACTTATCAGGTACAAATTGTTATCCTGATCCAACACCAAATTCTTGTAACTCATTTACAAGGAAATGTGTTGCAGTTAGAAGGGAGAATTAACAATCAGATCTTGGGGAGTTAAAGGTTTAAGGAATCTCTGGGTAACCATTTAGATGGCACGCACAAAGTACAAAATGAACATTTGAAACTAGCATTAACAGTTACTAAGTGTTGAAGAAGTCTATCATGGTAACCACATTGAAAGAATACAACAGGTCAATTATAAAAAACCAAGTTCTCACTCACTAAAAGTTAACAAATCTTAAAGTAACCAGTTTCATCAAAACTCTAACAAAATCATTGAACATGACTGGTTATTACCAGTGCAATTTGAGCACTAACAGGATGGTGCATGTATCATGCTTGTAATTGGATGGTGTAATATGACAGTTAACATATCATGCTTGTGTAAGTGAGCAGTAAATGTCATGTGCATACAGGTGCTGTTGTCATGGATTTTTCAGTGTAAGTTGTTTTTTCTTTTATGAAAACCTTTAACCAGTGCCCATAGTTTCTTTCACCCACTTCTGTCTGTAATCATACTTGTGACTAACAAATTGGACTCCCATTGTGCAGTAATCCGATTTTGTAATCACTTGTATAATTACAGACTGAACTGGCCTCCACTCAGTCCTATTACCATTATAAATGGCATGGGCAAAGAATAAAATGAACCTTACATGTACTACTAAAATGTATAGGAGGTCCATTGGCAACCACAATATATTGAATACATGTACATCAAGTAAAAAATGATCGTAAAGTAAAAGAATGTCAAGGTACAAAACTGTAACCACTGTACCTGGCAAACATGAAATACCAATTGAATGTTTAAGACTTGTTTGCAGTCTAAATAGATTTTGAAGAATTCTACACTTACATGTATAGTCAAACCACATTAAATAGCATAAATCAGGTTTAAAATGAACAATCAAGTTTAAACTTACTAAATATTGAGGAATAGTTACCACTCCCTGTGACTTTTGCAGAAATTTAAAAGTTATCAAAACACCAAATGAACCAGTAAGAGCAACCTGCAGATGAAAACATAGGAGGTGCAGAATTCAGAAATTTGAATCTTGTCCAAAAACTGTAAAATTGAACTGCTCAAAATTATGGCAGATGATTAGAAATAAACTGTTAGGAACAAATTATCACATTGTAACAGCTTTTTTCTGTGCAAAAACAGAAAATCAGCAGGAAACAAAAATATTTTCAACTTTTAATCCTTTACACCCTGACATCAGTATGTATTTTTTCTTAACTGTTCTCTAAGGTGCTGACAAGGAAAACTTTCTTAGCATTCAAGAACTTCTTTAGTTGGTGATCATTTCCTTTATTCTCATAACCTTAATGTGTGATTCAGGGGTGATATTGTAAGGAGAAATTAGATGCTAGTCTCTCTTGGGGGTCAGAGGGTTAACACTAGCTGAGTTAATTACACCATTGTTTACTCACTGGCGATATTAAAACATTGACTTCTACTTAATCTTGAGGTGATTCCTCAGTATTGCACTGTGCATCTTGTACTGTGCATAAAAATCATGTTATCAGGTGAATATTAGCACCCATGCATTTCAAGAACACTGTACTGTTTTCAATGAGTGAAACCAGGTAAAGACATCCAATGGTCTTCACATGTAGCTCTTCAACAAGCACAGTGAGCTATACTTTTTAATGTAGAATTGTGGTGGAATATTATACCCTTAAATTGAAGAAATTTTTAAACATTAATCACAGGGAAAAAAGATAAAGCTAAAAGCATGCATGAAGCTTGTCACTCATGGATGCAAATTTTGACCTTGAAAGCCACAATTTAAGGAATGTTTTAGGTCAATGAACATTTAAAATTGCGTGATTTCTCCAAAACTTATATTTGACATTGTTTTGCACACTTAAGACTTTCTACCCATCAAGTTTTTTTTTTTCTTAAGTGTAACTTTTAAATCCCTAGCCTCTAGCTACAGCAAAATGTACTATGAATCAATGAAATGATGCATGGGATTAATGCAGTACAAGTTAGGCCGGCATCATAATTATTGTCTCTTAATCCTTCAACTCCTATGAGTGACCAAGACAGAATTTCTCCTTACAATATCAATACAATATCAAGCACACAAGTGACAAGAATAAAGAAAAATATCAGTTAGGGGATTAAAAGCTGATTCAATACCAAATTCTCCAAACGAACATCAAGAACTGTATGGCAGACAGTAGGAGAATTAATAATGAGATCATAGGAGTTACAGGGTTAAACAAGCAGGTGAGTGACCTATCTTTTTTATTTAATCTTTTAAAACAGAAAATGTAAGGAAAGTTAAAAAAAAAATGGTCAAAAACTTTTTTTTCAGAGGAATCACCTTGGATACCTTATCCTTTAAAAGCACCACCATAGCTACCCCACTTACCCCACACAGGGGTGGTTGGTTATGTGACAAATACATGTACATTCAAAATCCATGTTGCGTTATTGAATCTATGATCCCAATGTATTATCCATACACTACACTGATTATACTACACTGAGAGGCAATGGGGGCGATTAAAGCTCAGTTCACTAATAAGGGACAAACTATGATCATATTCAGTGAATTTTGGCGTCCATGAAGTCCAAATTACCCACAGAAACATATCTAAAATCTATGTGTCGTCTGTCATCAAAGTTAAGGTCTCTTATGAAAGAAACTTGGGTTTAAATATAATAATCTCATCCAGGATACATACTGTTCATCTAAATGTATTTCTTCCACGATCTCCCATATGTATACACCCCCAAGTAGTCCTGTCAAAATATCTTTAATCGATCAATCGTATCTCGCTTTCTTTCAGGAAGGTTCGAAGATATAAAAGGAATCTAATTTATGCTTCAATAACATACTATATGAAATCAAATAAACACAAACTCAAATATTTGATTACAGGAAAAACCTCACAACGTTTCTTTTGAGGACAATTCGCCAAGATATCGTGAGCCAGGCAATAAAAAACGAATTTGTTTGCATACCAACACTCCAGTCCAAATGGGCATTCCAAGCCCACTGAATCTCCATTTTACTCGCACAATTTCCACGATTCCGAGCACTATCAGCCACAAAGATAACCAGCATTGGATCACAGACAAAGCACGGAGGAGTTTTATCTTAATTGTGAGGGGCATTTTAATCGATCGATCAAGACTTCGAGATCCAAGTGTAGAAACAGTATTCTATGCATGTATGTCATGTACTCCGATGTTTGCCCAAATCAACCGCTGACCTTGTTAATTTATGAGGGGTAGGGTCAGATATTTGAGCGTCTCATAATGCCTACTCAGGCTACTCAGCCTGCTTATACTCCATTTGTAAATAACAACTATTTAGAGCCCCTTGAACTCTCCCCCTCCTATTCCTGCCAGCAACAGGTGAAACCAAGAGATTATTCTCAGATAGTCCAGCCCCCAAAATAGTCGATTATATCCGTTAATTCTTCCAACCTTTTCCTCAGAGGGGTGGTATGGGAGAGATGGACCGGCCACATTTTTTGCTCTAAATTACTCAAGGGAGTTCCCTCATTTTGTAATGACAGATTCAAGGGAGTCCCCTCACTGGAATCTGTCATTTTAAATTAGCGTTGTTGTTTTGTTTTATTTTGTTTTGTTTCTGTTTTTGGTTTTGTTTTTATGCTTTGTTTTGTCTCGTTTGTTTGTTTGTTTTTTTTAATCGTCTTCCTGTTTAATTCTTTTCTTTTTCCTTCTTACTCATTTGTTTGTATTCACTTGAAACTTGGAAATCATCAAGTTATTGGCCCAAAATTAATTTTCATCCAATATAAATTGGTTTTATCATCTGATGAGATAAAATATATCGGCCCTTTACCAATTTCCAAAATCAACTGAGCAATTTTGAAAACCAAATTATTATGCAACACCACCCGCCGACGCAGCATCAAATTTTTATTTAGAAACTTATCGCCATTTTTTATACTCATCGAAGTTGAGGACATTAGGAATAATCTGAATTTAATTGTAACCTGGCTACCCACACAGTCAAGACATTAACAAGTGTTACACGAGAGAACTTTTTTTACTGATAACTTTGAACTAAGTTTCCTGTATCACCTACGACATGGCAATAAGAAACAAAGCGCTTTTTCACACCAGCCACTCATAGCAAGCAAAATATCATAGGGAGCCAATGAGAACTCGAAATTAAAACAATCAAACTGCAAGAGGCGCGGGAAAACGCGGGCGACCAAGTCGAGGTTGGTTTTAGTTTTAAATCTGATTGGTTGAGAAAGTGGCGCGTGTTTTCTGGACCAATCACATCATGAAATGAAACAAGACCAAAGCAGTCTCAGATTTTTCCAACACTCATTTGAAAATTTTTCCTCTATTACGTAATCGAATTAGTTACAACTACAGTCATACTAATTACCTATACATTTTACTCAAAGACACTGATAAGCGACTACTAAAAATTTTTTGCTTCACAGACAATCGAGAAGTCTCGCGTTTCTACTCCCTCGCGAAGAGTGGTGGTGTTCTTGTTGAGTGCTAGCACTGAAGACGTTGTCACCCCTCCGGAATTCTGATTTCACCTGACGACGGTCTTCTTCTATTTCAAGCTCTCGTTAGATATATTCACAGATATTCTTAATCAAAATATCTTCGGTTAAAAGGGGATGATAATACGGAAAACTCAATAGATATAATTATAAAATGTTCAGAGAAATGTGCGTGCTGTGATTGGTCATTGCGAGCTCATTGTATTTCTATAAAGTACGCGCCTTACGTCACACGAGTGTACTGTTGAGATATAATACACGCAGCTTACGTCATCGGTACGAGTCCGCGCAATTCACAATACATTTGATAACAGAAATAAAAAAACTTGTTCCTCGAGCGTTGTTGATTTATATAAGCACTTGGGAATTATTAAGAACACTCGAGAAGTGCTAGAAGCACTCACCTTCGGCCAGTCCTTCTCCACACTTCTCTCGTGTTCTTAAAAATTCCCGCGTGCTATTATAACTCAACAATGCACTCGGCGCGTTTTTTATCTCATTAATGAATGTAGATAATGTCACGCAACAAAAAAACGCATCGGGCACGAGACAACTAATTCTGGCCGGCGGCGCAGTTGTTAATGAATGATCTCGCAATAAGTCTTTCCGTGAGAAACTGGTCATATAAGAATGTAGTTACAGATGTACTTAAATTTTAAAAAACCTAAGGTTTAAAGGATATAAAAAGGCATGTACTTAATCCAATGAATGTAAGTAATGTCACGCTACAAAAAACACAGCAGTCAAAGGTTGGGTATGCGCGAGGGGATCAATTCTGGTCGTCTGAGCGCCAATTTCCCGCGTTAAACTGCGATGTAAAAAAATAGATAAAAGTCAACTGAAACGTTCATAGAAATCTGTCGAAGGAAATAAAAGCAAGGAAAAGGAAAACTCGAGACTTTTTGAACAAGACATTTCTGCGAGGGGAAGTACCCTATCGATTTACCATTTTATTTGAGTTTTGTCAAAAATGTTACTTACTTTTCAACACTGCGACTTACTAGTTGTGTGGTTGTTTTTTAATCGCGTGAGACAACATCGTTCTGACCACCTGAAAGCACGGCTCTTATTCATTGAAACGTTGGCACATGCGCAAACGTGTGACCGCTGTGTACTTTGTAGATCGGCATTGCCGCTAATCCATGATACTCTCTTCATACTTGACCTCCTTTTCAAGATCTTCTTCAGGAGAAATTAGCTCTGTCTTCCAAATATTTATAGACTAGGCGAATCCGCACTGTTTCTGATAAGTGGTGGCTAAAGCATTTGAGAATCCAACTGAAAAATTTGTAAAGAAGGTCATAGGCCAAACAAACAGCTCTTTAGCAACTAAACTGTAACAAAATCGTTCTATGCGAATGTCTCAACATGGTGAATATGCCTAGCGGTTAAATTTTGACCATTTTACTGTTAATTTCATTCCGTTTCAATTGAAAGAAAAAAAATTTACCACCAGCTGTATGTCACAACTATAGCTACTAAATACATATTTGTAAAAAAATGTCCACACACAATGTCCTTATGGCGAACAGCTTGCCCTTAACAAGTGCTTATGCAAATCTTTATCGCAAAAAGTCGCGCGAAAGAATGCAATCATTGCTACATTATGCAACTTCTTCCCAGGGTTTAATTTTTCTACTGCTGCTGATATTTTTGATAAAGAGAAAATAAAAGTCTACAGAGGGAGACCACTGGTCCTCGAGCCTCGTGATGTACATAAAGCTGACAGACAGCAATATAATGGCGGTCTTGTGTTCTTTGCAGTTGTTCTCCGGGATGTCACGTTCCCCTTCAAAGCCGTCCTTTTTTTATTTTCTCACTGGGATGGAAGGGAACACCGCTAGACATTCCGAAGAGGAGCTGCGAAGGATTATGATTTTCCGTTCTCCATCTACTCATTTCTTCAATTTCTCTTAGTTTAGTGAAGTGAACTGTATCTGTTCTATAATGATGAAATGGTCACCTGGCCGTGACCAGCTGTGTTATAGCAACATTCATCTTGCCGATTAATTCCAACATTGTAGGAGCCTCCCCCACCCCCACAGGTATCACCAGCATTGTCTCCAACGCCTCCCCCAGAGTATCCCCCTCCTCCCCCCTCCCCCCTGCTCCTCCACCTCTCCATCCAGCAGCTCCACCGCCTCCACCAAACCCACCATCGATACCATTTTTCCAAGCTCTCCCACCCTCCCCTCCCTGAAGAAATCCCCTACCACCCTCTCCGCCATTTCCACCGCCTCCACCAAAGTTTCTTCCACTTTTTCCATTGGAGTAAAACCCGCCACCACCACCACCTGAAAGATAATAATGATAATTACAAAATAAGTAAACAAAAATATATATTTTTGATTGAGATACTTAGGGAGCGATTGTCATAAATATTAGTTTTTGCCGGCTGGGCAGCATTTTCAAGCAAAGACTTTGGTCACGAGGTCAGCCGATAAATATTGTATCAATTCTCTCTTTTTTTTCTCACTATAACTGATTAAAGAACTTACCCCGGCCATTTCTATCAGAGGCCTGGGCACCATGCCCATCACTCCCCCCTGACCATGAATTGTACCCAGGATTCCCAGTTGTTTCTGTGCTGGCGTCGCATCCTGCATGTTTTGAAACCGCCTGCTGTACGCCTCCTCCGCCTCCAGCTATTATTAAAGAAGTGTTGGCTCCTCTCACTACAAATGTACCTCCACCGCCTCCAGATGACGGACCCGCTATGTTTACTGTTCCCTCTTGACCAACAAGTATCAGGATGACTTCACCCTTGTTTAAGCGGAATGTTCCAGTTATTTTTGCTCCTCTTCCACGATACTGAGAGCTGTTAGCTGTTGAATCGTATCCTCCTGCTGCTCCTATTGCTTGTATTCTGTAGTCACCAGTGTACGGCACAGTCCACCGCTGAGTACCGTTGGATACTGTAACTTGTCCGTCATGATCCTGACCTGTGTAGTGACTGCCCAGCGTTGTTGGACCATATCTTCCAGTGGCATTGAGATTTGTAAAAACAGCTTTAAATACTGAAGGGGAATAGTTAAGTTGTGTTTAGCGATGATAAAAACGTAATAGTTAACTTTTTTCAAAGATTATATGAATCCAGTAGTCTATAAAACAACACATAAATTACGCATATTGTCTTATTGCGCAGGCAGGCACTTTCTATGTCTTTTTGGGACTCCAATGGGGCTGCTAATCAGGACCCAATCAGGGTCACTGTTACCGTTCACGTTCCTTCTTAATATTCAAACAAAAAGGCCGTACTGGAGAATATTGGCCCGAGGTCGTGACGGTACGAACCGAGCGCAGTTAGGTACGCACAAGTCGTACGTGGGCCAAAATTATTTCCCCCCTACATTCAAACAAGCAAAGTTAGTAAGTGATTTAGTTGATAGCACTTTGGACCAAACTTATTTTGTTTTAATTTGCCGGCTTCTGCGGACAAAAGGAATGACGTGAGACCGTTTTAATGGAAACAGCCTGTATGGCAAAATCAGACCAAGTAATAATTAATCAGAATGCTCAGATTTGCTTCAGGAATACCTTGCCATACAGTAATGTAAAGCATGCTCCTTACTGTGGTTGAAGATGTTATGTCGGTCTTCTTTGTTATAAAGGTCAAGAACTGGGGATTCGTATTTGACCCAGTTACTGTAAATTGTTTATGTGCTCTTTTTGATTCGTTTGTCTTTGCTCGAGGTTGTAAAAGAATCACCAAGTTTGCAGTCCCACATTCTTGGGATTGTCTAGAAAGGTTAGATTACTTAAACACTAGAAGAGAATTTTCTTGAACAGTCACCGAACAGGGTAATACAAAAATAAATTAATTCCGAAGTATAACGAGGTAATTTAGTATCATCAACTGAGTTGATAGCGTAAATTAGCCACCGTAAAGAGTTTCAAAGCTGACATTTCTAGCGTTATCCCTTCGTCAGTTTCGTATGACGTTTCGAGCGTTGGCCCTTTGTTAGCCCTTTGTTAGCCCTTCGTTAGCCCTTCGTCAGCCCTTCGTCAGAATCTTAGCCATTCGCTTTGACGAAGAGCTAACGCTCGAAACGACAGCTTTGGAACTCTTTACGATTAATACCAGAGTACTTAAACACTCAATTAGAAATTACGTTATTCGTAAACCTAGTGTTTGTGTCAGGGAGTGTCCAATCGGAATACGTATAATCGATGGATAGGACTTGTTCTAATCTGAAAAGCAGAACATTAATTTTTTGCATACTTACTGCACGAGTACGACCCATACGTGTTGTTGCAACTTGCATTAGAGAGACAATGGTGTTTGTTAGTGAAACACTCGTCTATATCTAAAAGATGAAAAAGGCAGCAGTATAGACGAATGCGTTCATGTGCGAAAAACACTGAATCGACTCACATCTATGTAAATTTATTTCAATACCTTTCCTGTGCTTCAATGGTTTCACACAAAATACGGACCATAGGACAATTGTGACGGTAGGGGCAATAAGGGCGTGGCAAAACAAAGTATTTAGTTGGCTGAATAATAGCTTAGCATGTGCGTTTTAAAACTTTTTACATTTCTAGGCCGTCCTCTGCAAAACGACGACGCCAAATCACCAAATTTTGCGTGGTTAGAGAGGGTAAACCTCAAAGTAAAATGATTTAAGTTCCCATTTGGAATTCAACGCTGCTTACAAACGATGTGCTCAAGTTAAGGCGTGAATCGTCGATGTTGTTGATAAACTCGTTACGTCTAAGCAAATATAAATTAACTTATTCCGTTGGTTAGAAAAATTTAAAGGGACAGTTTTCATGGTTACCTGTGCAGTTTTTGCCATCGCCATTAAAGCCTTCCTTGCAACTGCAATTAAAGGAACCTTCGGTATTGTTGCAGTCAGCATTGACGTCACAGTTGTGGGTATTGGTAATACATTCGTCTACATCTGAAGAAACAAATGCTTTCTATTAAAAGTAAAAAATCTACGACACTTATACAGGAATGGTGTGATCGACTGAGAGACCATTCTTGATTTATTACGAATGACCCCCCTTTGTACCCCCGCGAAAACCATTTCATCCCCCTAGAGTCCCCCCCCTTGCAATAAATAATGGTCTCCCAAAATTTCCCAGTAAAAGTGCGTAAAATTATGCTTACCATTTATCATAAACAAGTGATCCATACTCGTATAATTGAAAATTAGATCAATTAAGAGACACATTGACAAGAAAAAACACAAGTCTATAAGATAAATAAAGACGTCGCGAGTCGCTGCGTGAGAATCCCGAGAGGAGACCGGCAACACTCGACTCACGTCAAGAGAGTGAATCGGTGCATTGCGTGATCATGAAAACAAGAGAATCGATTTAATTCACATCATTTTCATTGTTCAGAAGCTTCAAAAATAGGTAAGCATCGAACCAAGTGGCCCATCCAGCCGGAGATTATTCCAGTTTCCATTATCCCCTCCCCCCCTTACATATGGTGTCAGTCTATGACAAGGTTATCCCCAGCATTTCGTTAAGCTTACAATTCACCAGTACCCATATATACCCCTGAATAGACAGAGGCACTATGAAATTAGAGTGCTTTCCCTAAGAATACAACACGGAGACCCAGCCAGGTCTTGATCCCGGATCTCTCGCCCAGGAGTCCAGTCCCGGAACTAATTATTATGGCAAATGCCTAATGATTCTCTAAATGCTAAGTTGTCTTTTAGCTCTGAAAAAAACGTATCTGGGAGAGCGACCATAACACCAAACAAAATGTTACCTACAGTAGAACAAATAGAAAGACAACACTGAAAAAGACTCCAAACACACCGCTGTAATTGAAAGCACCAAAACTAAAAGGAAAGGATGTGCGTAAGAGACAAAAACTAAAACGGGTACAAAAGAGCTGCATTGGAAGAGGAATTATAACTATTACACTGCACGCGCAAAGTAGCCCTTACCTTTTTCACAGTGTTCCCCTGTGTATCCAGGCTGACACGCACACATATATCCCTTGTTTGTGAATCCAACCAGGCAAGTTGCATTGTTGTAGCACGTGTTGAAGGAACACTTGTTCTGATGCAAAAATATATGTAGCTTTATTTTTCTTTAAGATAAGACGGGGGGGAGGGAAAGGAATTCTCCTATAATGATCTGTACTATTCTTATAACAATTTCCCCCTCCCCCCCCCCTTATCCCCCCTCATTGGCATATTCCCCCTTGCTACTCTGTTGGCGACTATTGAATCCCACTCCGTTCACCATGAAAACAATGTAATGCCCAAAAATTCTTGACCCTCCCCTCCCCTTTTATAAAATGGTCCTTAGCTAAGATAGATATTCTACACCCTCTGATTGTCAGTAATGTACTTGTGGTATCGACCTTGCGGAAACGTGACCAGATCTTTTTTTTTTTTTTTTATGAATGTTTTGTCTTCCCTCGTATTCTTTTCACTGATATAACGACCACAAACGGCAATCAGCACATTTGAAGCCGCAGTTCGCTCTGCTCGGTAAACTTCGAGCGCAAATTACGTTTCTAGTTATGATAAGAACACTGAATAAACTTTTACATGAATCGTCTCAGATTCGACGCCACAGATTTTTCCTGTGTTCTAATAATCTCTCATAACATTGCTTGTGAATTATTTCACTGATAAACTGAAAGAATCTGCAAATTATTTATTTTTACCTCCATTTTCCTATACATGAAGCCTACCGCTGATTTCAGATCATCTGGATGTTGCACGTGGTCTGAGTCACTCAGCTGGCACAAAACTTTATCTTTTTTTTCTGGTCCCATGTTTATCGATGTACATCTGTCTACCATAGTACACCAATTTCTACAATGACTATTCATATGCATTCCGATTGGTAATGAAATGTTTTTTAAGACATGACCCACCAATGCATATCCATTTATTGGTTTCAGAAACCTGAGTCGCCTACAGCCATCTGTAAGTTAGACAGGAGTGGATAGGGTTTAAGATTAAAGATTGGCGGGGGAGAAAAAAACAAAACTTAAAAATAATGCTCATAGCATCACACTGAATAGAACGCTTTCGATCGCGTTTCGTCAGAGGAAAGGAAAGTACCTTTAAGATCCAAAGGAGAAACAACCGAACTTTCTAAATCGAGGGAAAACGCGGGTGATCAAATTGTCATTGGTGTTATTTTTTAATCTGATTGTTTCAGAGAGTGGTATGAGTTTTCTTGAACAATCAAGGTAAAGTAAAGCTAAAACAATGCAATCTCAAACATTCGTCATTGAATTAAGAATTTGTCGAAAATTAAAGAATCCTGGATTTGAACATTTTCATGATATCAAACGGATCGACTGATTATTCTAATTTCCATTCTGGATTCTACATGTATCTGCCCAAAAGAATTGTTAGATTGTATCGGATTGTGCATCGATCAACTTTTTCCTCGGCATTCATAAGAATTTTCTTACAATACTTAAGTCACGTTTTCTTTCTTTCGGGAAATACAATATGGTTTGTTTAAGAGGATAACATTATTGTAATTCATGAAATGGATTTGGGAAGACTTAATAAAATAGTAACGCGAACTTCCTGCGGTTAAAAGCAATAACGACATGGTATGCTTATCAACGGTTCTTGGCAACATTCAGTTTCAACAAAACCTATTGCTTTTAATAAGTAATGTAAAATCATATTATATGGTGAAAAATTGTCAAATACTTGTATGAAGTGGTGTTTCGTCTCGGCCAAAATATAATTCTCATCAGATACCTTTCGGAATTTTAAAGCCAAATTTTCGAGCATCAAGCTCAAAGGCCCGTTCGCGAATTCAAGATGTTAGGAATCTGGCCCTCTATAGCAGAAGGATTCCCAACCGCACGTTCACGAGTTACAATTTACACGATATAGAATAATGTTGGCCACAAGAATCTAACCAATGTTTTGGATGAACTTTCTGTATCCTTCCGTGGACAAGTTTATTTAATTTTTTCTTTTTAGTAGCTCTATAGTTCATTTGTTTTATTTGATATTCTCGTCTTCCTCTGTAGATCTGGTAAATAAATTTTGAACCCAGTCTCCTTTCTTTAATTTTTCTGTTTTTTTTTTCTGTTTTTTTTTTTTCTTTTTTTTTCGGCAAAGCACAGATTTAGAATCTTAAACCGACGGTAAACTCACCCGCGATCTTTTCAAAGCGATAACCTTTCACGAAAAATATCAAACTTTTTAAAGTCAAAGTTCTTGATTTTCCCAGGGAAGATTTAGTTCAAAGCTTTAGCAAAGGTGTTGTTTATCCTCCCTGTATCTAAACAGCTGGACATTTCAGAGGGAAAATAAATAAATTGAAATTGCGGATCTTTCTAAACCCCTCTTACACCTTTTCTTGGTGTTTGTTGAATTATAATTCGAACAATTTATTCTTTCGAATGAGTCGCTCAAGGGCCTCAGAATTATATCAACGGGAGTTGTGTTTATTTTCATTACTCCCGGTAAATTATTAATAAATAGTCTAATTTCACGAGGTACCACCACAGAGACACGATACTGAGCCAAACAGTATTGCACGATCTTAATTTGTTTTGACATTTGTCAGAGCTGATCTGCTCGATCAAGCTGCGTTTTTGCGTTTTTACTTCGATTACTCTTTATCTTAAAGCCCTTCCAAACAAAAGCCAACAATAGTGGAAAAACGAATTGTAACTCTCATAACAATAAGTACAGTTAATAAGGACGTAAACCGTAGCAAAGATTATTTGGCAGGCATGCGCATTGATCAAATGCATCATGTTCAGTCATGTTTTCTTCAGACTAATCAAAACAACGAATGTGTTTTTGCCTTAGTTTTCTTCGAAATTTTCTATCATCTTTTTTTTTTTAAGATAGATTTGTTTCTTCACTAAAAGGTGAATTGAAAGAATAGTCTTTTTTGTTACATATAATTGTAAAGACAGAGGCGAAGTCAAACACTGGCAACATTTACGTAGTTAAAATACAGTATACGACATGCCGTGATTCTCAGGGTTAAAATACACATCGTGAACACTTACACCACCATTAGTTTTTCCAGTTCAATGGCCTGATAGCCTTTAAAGATGGAAATAACAAATTTTAAAAGAAAGCGGAAAAAATTCTTGCTAGAGTAACACGAAACTTTTCTTTAAGTACAATTGCATTTTTTTCCTTAAGTTGCACAGGTCTATGGGTTTTCTATCCATTCTGATTAATTATTCATCACTGTTTCTCCACAAGCTTGATCTTTTAGATGACAAACATTTGAATAGTTGATAATAACCAGCAAGAATAACTTTTAACTCGCTTAATTTTTTGTTTTTTTTGGTAATGATGAAACTGATCCGCGAAATATTTCTAAATTTCAAATGTGAACAAGGAAACATTCCAACGTTAGTGCCATCAAAACTTATCGAACTGCCTTTCTGCTCAAAACTGTTTATGTAAGCCCTCGACCAGAGAGTTCCAGACTTGCTAACTCCTCCCAAAAACGTGGTTCGCTTTGCACATGTTTTCACGAACTTCATTGTACTATTTTATCAACAAAATTTAAAATTTCGTCGCTCTTAAGCGTCTTCGAAAAGGTCACTTTAGATTTTCTGCTTTTCAGAGCGGATACTCAGTGATAAATTACGGTATCCAAATTCGCCAATTTGTGCATCACTCAACCTGCCTGCCATCAATCCCGATTTGCCTAAGCTTACTTTTTAAAATTTACCTTTAGTGTTGATTTACTGCAGACGGATGTACAGGTATTTTATTCAACAACTTTGTCAGATTGGGTTTTTGAATCTTTACAAATTGCATATTTCTTCTTCGTTAACTTTGATATATAATTGTCCATAGGAATTAATTTGAGAGCCAAGGTAAGACCCTTAACATTTAGCCACATTTTCGTAACAATTTTCCAACGTTCGTTTTGTAAGTCCTGGATTGAGAAAGGCACTGTGAAGATAAAATATCTTTCCCCACAAGAACACAAAAACACAAGAACACAGGGCAATGGCGGGGCCAGTAATTGCACCTGGTACCTTCGATCTGAAGTCGAACGCAATGACCATTGAGCCGACGCGTCAACCAGACACCAGACAGAAAAAATTAATCGAAGTCTGCTTTAAATATTCCAAAAAAGAAATTCATTACAAACAAACAAATGATTTTGAAGTTAACTTACCTTGGTTTGCAGCTATCGAGGTGTAAAACCAGCCTCCAAACTGAAAAAGCAGGAGTTGGACTGAAAACACCGGGTAGCAACGCCGACAATTCATCCTCAGATTCTTGTCAGGAAGGAAATTTTCAGCCTTCCTTTGACCGTAATTCACTTTTAGAAACCTGTCAAAATTGTGCAAAAACTTCTTTAACTGTCGGACGCATTTCTGTCACACGGAGCAAAATGGATATCTTTTATCGTCAATCGAGATAAATAATTAATCTAATGGCAGCTGAAAATGAAGTTTCTCTTACATCGCTTCAGCCTAGAAATATTTCGTGATAAGTCCTATTTTCCTGGCATTCTGCACGGAAAAATCTCAACAAAACAATTCTAAGAGAAGATGCACAAGAAACCACTGCAGAATATGGATCGTTCCTAGGGAAAGCGTTAGTGGAAAACCTACAGCTTGAGACAATTTTGACAATTGAAAGTCTTTTGTGTTCTAGTTTCAAGTTAAAACAGTTCCACTGACCAATAAAAACACATTGAATGACCGACGTGTGTTGTGTTATCACGTTTACTTGGCATGTGGGAGCAACCTCCATCATTTAGGCTTCGTTATTGTATTGAATTGGTTTGATGATTGAACAGTTAAAATATTGAAAGTTCTGAATCAAACGCCGGAAACCTGTGCACCAAATTCACCGTTTTTTTGGAAACCAAATCTAAATCACCAACAACAAAAAATCAATTAGTATAGGCAATAATATGATTTCGAGTGCAATGAAAAAATGTATTCGTTTTTAGCCATTCAAGCGCGAGTAATTTTTTTCGTGTGCACTATTAGTATGAATAATAAATTCACATCTGCTGAATTACATTGATTTAAACTTTGACGGTTGCAGCGCCTCAAGAGACAAAGCTGAAAAAAGAAGCTACCAAACAAATGAATATAATGACGCTTATTGTTGACCGTCGACCATGCATATCTTAAGTGCGAAAATCTCCCGCGTGTTTTCCAAGGTTCACGTAAAGGCGTTGACAGTTACGCTGTGATTTCTTTTGTTTAACTCGACTTTTTTTTTAATCTGCCTGCTCTACCCAAGCATTTCGATGCTTTTTTTGATATTGCAATTGCAAAAGTTAAGGTCGCTCTTGGAAATGTCCTTCGACGACAGGTTTCAACCGGAAAGTAAATACAATTTGGAAACTTCCCCAAGTGTGACCCATTCCTTACGTATCAAACATCCCAAGGGTGTTTCGGCGAGAGAAAAAAAACCCGTTGTTACACGGAAACTAAATATGCTAGAAGGCTAGAGTCACGTTTTCACTCACTTTTCATTAAGATTGCTACAATTGCTAAACGATTCAAGTTCGCTTTGCGTTATGCGTTTCTTTTTGGTGGAGCGAAAACATGAAAGCCTTTTTTTAAACTGTAAACTTTAATTCACGCGAATAAATTGTTAGTGGTCATTACATCAGAAGATTATATGGATGCTGGCTTTTCAAAACATACTCTCGAATTTGACATATTAAAATGCCTGAACAAGGAACCTCCCGATCATTTTCTTTTGCTATGCCTTGATTAACAAATCCATCAAATTATTCAAATAAAAACGCTGAATTAAACCTTTTTCCAGTAAATAAGATGATAAAGGTTAAACCAAAAAATCCAAAAAGGGTCAGTAAATTCATCGGAAACAGTTCAAGATAACGCACGGT